TTTTTTTTTCTATGGCATTTTCTACGACCTAGCATGCAAAGTCGTAGCTGAATGGTTGATAGATTCCCGCAAGATACAAGGTTCCACTAAGCAGACATGTTCTTCAAGACCAGCACTATTATCAAAATATAACAGACAGCAGGAACATCTATATCGTAGAGTACAGTATTTTCGAAATATATACTCCCTTGAAAACCATTAGCATTCTTTCCAGCATAACCCTTAAAGAAGGATACTAACTTCAATCTGTGAAACTGGACCTAGCCCCTGGAATATGTCTGTTTATACTTATTAGGATTATATTTGAAATAAGGACAAGCTAAAGGGAGGTTATTATCCTTTATCTTACTGCCTGTTATGTCCTAAGTCTTCTGCATTGCAGTCACGAGGCGACGGCTTTAATCACTGGAAGAAGTTAACGCTAAACTATAAGAGGTTTCACCGAAGAAATTTAACCCAGATCCTCGCTGAAATAGTGACGATGAATCATAACTGCCATCAGTGGTGCTTCGCCGACCTACATAATAAGTTTTGGCCATTCTGTTTGATAGAACTAAAGTCTGAGCCCAGGACCTATAAGTCGGTCGTACAGGCAAGTTAGACTTAATACCGATTTCTAGGGGGCCAGCACCAGTGCTTAATCGCCTCTTGTTCTCACGACTGGTTGGGTCCCCACCGTCCTATTTATGGATATAACTGGTATTAATGGGGAGATTTAAAGGATTTTCTTTATATAGGTATATTATATTTAACCTAGAGCGGTTATAGAACCAAACCAGGCTTTACTTTACCTCGGCAGCTATTACTCTGCAGACCAGAACTTCACTATCTGTTTTAACAACTAGCATGCTGTTTTTAATGATGTCGAGAAAATCGTGAAAAAACAGCAAATAAGCCTAATATTAATAAAGTAATACTACCTACTATTAGATATCAGGAGAGAAGGGGAAGCATTAATAATTTTAAGTTAATACTTATATATACTACCTCAGGCTTAACCTTGCTATATATATTACCGGTTTCTAGAGCCCTAGTAAGCTTAAAATAAGTATTATCAGCTTCGAGGTTATTTTACTTATATTCTCTTAAGGCGAAAAACTCCATAATGCCCTCCCAACCTATCAAATACCACATAAGGAACTCAAGATAAACACACCCCAACGCCTATATATCATAAGACCTTAATAAGAGTCTATTAGGCATGTTAAATTCTAGAGCGCAATATATTAAAGAGTTTCCTATGCCAGCAGGAGAAACATTAGATTAGGATCTTCTATTATAAAAGCATATAAATCCAAAATTAGCAATCTCTAAGACTTTAATATTAGTATTAGGCCCGTTATAAAACCAAAGGATATTTTCTTATTTAATATCCCTATATCTGCCATAAGACTATAATAACTATAATTACCGGTAGTATAGCTATAAGGCAGCTTTATAGGCATAGTTATCACTCTGGTTAGGCAGAGGCTTATAGATAATACTTAACCCCTTAGCTATACATTTACACTATTTAGCTACCTAGAGCCCATAACGGCAATTAATAGATAGGTTGGGAAATATAGCCTAATATCTTTGTAGGTTTATATTTACTTATAGGAATAAAAGATAATAGCTATTCTTATATTTAAATATAGTAAGAAGCAAAACTATATATTTTTAACCGCTTAACCGCTTAAAGGTATCTACCTCTCTTTAAAATATTTTATAACTATAAGAATAAAGGCGCTTAACCGCAAAGGCAGAGTCAGAATTATAAGCTTCCTGCAGGATACTAATTAGCAAATCTTAGTCAGTGCAGTCAGAGTCTTATAAATATAGCAATATAATAGAAGTTATGGTGCACTAGGTGGATCTTAACTTTAAAGATGGATCCATAGCCTCATTAGAAATCCTTATTATCCTCTATATTAATATTACGAGAAGAATCCTTAATAAAAGGGAGGATAGTTTAGTCGGCAAGGAAATAGGTGCAGATAGCCCGCTTATTCTCCCACGAGACAAAAGGCAACATCATCATCCACTAGCACCCTTTAAATAAGTCTATTAAGAAGGGTAACCGCTTATTAAGACCTTCTAAAGGTCTATCAGGCTAGAACTTTTATCTTAGTTTATATCAACCCTTATATTCTCCCTAAACCTTAACAAGGGGCAGGTTAAGATCCGTGATATTATTTTCTATAAAAGTAAAGACCTCTTATAGTTACTAAATTAATATTAATATGGCAAAGATATATCAGAAGGATAGTTCTCTGTAATTTCGCTGCAATCTTAGGTATATTATCTTTACATAGAACTATGCATTATTATACAATAAATGCAATATATATTCTCTAAGTATAATAGATATAGAGTCTTCTATAACTATTTTATTTAATTTATCTAAAAGAAGAAAGCCTCTAGACTTTTTATAGGCGTATTAGCATATAGCGCCTCTTAACTGCTGTTTTAGTGACTTGATTTCTGGTAGTATTAATAAAGGTCCTAATACTCCTGCAGGAAAGCCAGAACTGTTAAAAGCTTCTAGCTGCTTACTGTTATCTATAGTTAAGTATAGAGACCATATTGGGTCATTGAGGCTCAGCTTATGACTGACGGACTTATCTAGTAAGCCTGCTGACCCCAGATATGAGGTCTCACCAAGGGGTAAGGGAGTATTCAGTCGGCTAGGTAGGATAAAATTGAAAGAGGGGATGGCTAGAGAACTGCTACCATTGCTGTCGTCTTTAAGGCCCGACATGAGACCTATTAGTGGTTCCATACTGTATTAAATCATGGTGTAATAGACAGAAGAACAAAGTGGTATTTGGGCAACTCTACCTCCAGTTTTATGCCTCATGATGTCAGTTAATTCGGCTACGCGTATTGCAACAAGATTTATGCGCAACTGCGTAGTTCGCAAGCTACTATCTGCTCTAAACGATCTGGCCTGAAAACAAGGCAACTAGTTTGCCAGATAGGCCGCACAAGACTACATCTTCTTACCCCGCTTTAAGGCCTATAGCCCGCGAGAGAATTATTCTTCTTGGACCTACTTATACAATGCCTACATGTACGGGCTCTCCGAGCGGTACTTTTCTGTCCAAGATTTATTTGACAATAAGCCGATTACGTTGCTTGACATGTACCCCTGGGGGCATGTCCACGACTGTTCGTTGAAGCAAGTCCTGATTGACAAAGGACGTGATATTCTCAAAGCGTGACTATTGGTTGCGCGGCCGCATTAGGCATAGATGAAAATGGACTTGGCTGCATATTTTCAACCCCCATGGAAAACAATCCACAGGTTGCAGCGACCCAGCCCTCTGCAGTTATGCCAATCCAAGTCAACTTTCTGCGCCTAGAGCGGCTACTCCGGCAAAGATTGACTGATATTGCAATACTCCCTTTTCGTCTATGATGCAGCACCAGAAACGCGCTTTGGCCATACATAAAACTTTTAGCGGCCAACTAAATTATTACACCTGAAGAAGGGCTACTTCGTTCTGCTACGCGCTAACGCATAATTACATAAGCTCAAAGGATACCAAACTACAGCACACCATTACAGAAAAGAGCACTGTGGCCGGACGACAGGCAATACAAGTGTGAAACGTATAAGTGCTTATATCGCCATCCTCATAAGCTGGGCCTTGGTTCTGATTAAATGAATCAACCGGAGTTTATCTTCCCGCAATTCACAAATCCTAAGACTTTTGAGTGCAACGTCAAATATGTCATTTGGGGTCGGCGTCGGAGAGTTGTCACTGGCAAAGGCATCTGGAAAGTCACCTCGCTTCTCCATGCGGAGGCAGTTGACGAATTTGAGCGTTTCGAAAGAGTACGCTACGATCTCGAGAAGCCGAGTAGATTTATTTCATCTTTCTCTCATGACTCACAACATAAGAATCTGTTTCGTCGAGAATCAAGAGCAATCAACCAACTACTGAGCGAGTTTCGTGAAAAAATCAGAAATCTCCGCCCTTTCCTCGGCCGACATCGTGAAACGAATATACGAGGCTGTCTTTATAAGATCAGGTGGCCTCTCCACTCAAAAAAAAACTTGAGCAAATCCGATAGGACCTTGTATCTCAGTTGAATATTATTACCATAAAGCAGCAATTTTTCCTAAAGTTAGTTATCCTCTGAATAGTATGTGACTAGTGTCTGGGAAGCTTACTTTGATATCAATAGCTCTGCTAGAAAGCCTTTCATGGAATATTTCTTTATGAGGAACAGTTTTAATCTTGAGGATCCATTCGGTGTCTTTCATAGGTTTCACTTCTTTTCTGCCGTCTCTTGGGAGGTATGTAATTTATCATGTCTCTTGGTGGCGTATAAATAACTCTGCTATCTAGGCACTATATGAAATCCTTCTATGAATCTTCCCTCTGGGTTATCGTAGATATGAAATTATCCGAAGCCACTGCTACCTTTTGCATAGAAGTGGCTCTGATTCTGAGATTCTGTGTAATAGTCCTGGCATCAGGCCTATTCAAGATGTGATCAAGCGTCGAGAGCTTATCTTAATGAGTGCCATCTTTCTAAAATTGGAAAGTTATGATATAGAGTATCTGGCATATTAGTATAAGAGAATCGTAAATTTTCAGGGTCAAACCCTGGAATGGTACGTTGAGATAGTGCAAACAAGTCAAGAACTAATGAAATCTGATATAGTACTAGTACCAACAGGAGGTATAGTTTGTGGCTTCGCTTTCATGACTCATATAGCGGCCAGCCCGATCCCCTCACTCAAGCTGCTCTTAATAACATAAAGTCAAGTGGTAGGGCGCCGTTCATGTTTCGCTTTCTGGGGCCAGGGGACCAAGGTAGAAGCCTAGGGGAATTAGTACGCAACAGGATCACACAAATTGGCCCCATTCCACCAAGGCAAGCAAGGGCAAGAAGACCTAAAATAAGGCATTTTCGCAGAGTGACACTTTGCACTTCACAATGGCCTGACTTTTCTCAGAACCTTATGAAAGAGGTGGCCAAGTTCCGGCTAAGAAAAACTGCACAAGGTCTCCAACGTATGAAGCAGGTTCTCGACTCTGAGGATCTTCCATTTGCAAAGGCCGCGGCATTGATTAACACCCGTTTCTGGCACGCTCGAAGCAATCAAGCTTTATCAAGATTCGTTACTTTATTGCTTCTAGCGTTGACTAATAGCGTGCTTCTTGCTGTTTGGTCACAGGATAACACACGACTTCTGGATCAGTTTGTCTCTCGAGTGGCTGGCACAAACGACTTTCTTAGCGAATCTCTAGAAGCTAAATGCTTTCTTTGGATTCTGTGGGAGGTGTCGCAGCTCGAGGCTAAAGTTCTTTGCTCTTGCGCAAAGCTGCTGGATACCTAGACCTGCTCAGATAAATTTACAAGGCGGGAAACACCTCTGACTAAAAAGCTTTTCAGTCTACCGCATATAGCTCTTCTACTTCCTTAGAGACTTATAGTCGATTTACCTAAAGACATCGTGGAGTGGTTTGATGAAAAACAACCACTCTACCTCCCTACCGCCGTATAACAATTGATTATGAGATCCGGAAACATCTTGCTCCATTATTGCCTCCACTGCGGGCTGTCGGACTATGCTCCAGCCTACCGAACAGATCATAAACGGATCATACTAATAGATCGACTGTGTCTAGATTGGATAGAATAAGCACTATATTCAGGAGGAGAGATTATTAATCAAGAGCTCACTAGGGCACAACTAGAGTCTCTGATAGAAGGAGGCTATATCTACATAGTACATACGGATAATAAAGCTTTCTGCGTGTCATACTCGGGCTTCCCGATATGCTTGATGAGCTACGACATCCAGGAAAGAAACTGCGAGGGAACGATATACTGGATATATGTAAGTCGCACACTGCGTAGAAGGCCTTGGCCACTCTACCGACACCTCCAAAATACAAATACTTGATGGCTGACTTGAAACATAACCTACTTCAAGTCATTACATAACACCTTGTCAATAGATAGCTTCCCGGCTCCTTAGAGGACCAAGACCGGCGAAACAGTTTAGCCCCATCCAGTTCCCACCGGAGTTTCGTTCAGGCTTGAGAAGCGGACTGTCTACCTGACTTCTAATGAATGTTCTGAATCAGCTATCGACAGGCTTTCGTGAGTAGTTGATAACGGTTAACCGCAAGCACGATGGAAAGCACCACCACCATGAGACCTATCTTCAGCCTGCTTATCTGCAGTCTGTCGCATTTGCCGAACTTCACCTGCATGGCCGTTGGCTCTCCACCCACACGCTACTCATTTCCGAATTAAGCTGGGTGACCAGAAAGCCTAGCTATGGGATTCAGTGGCTCAGATACCTCGGAGCCCAAAGTTGGAAGGCAATATTGTTAAGTGGCCCATCAAGTCTTCTCCAGCTCCAGCGTCTAGAATTGTTAAGCAAGAGGCGCTACTCGCGTAGCTCCATGGGGGTACCGATATACTGTGGCGCCATTAATAGGTTATGCGGGCTTCGTATTATCTTAATTAATGTTGTAAAAGACATTTCTACTTATACACTATTAAAGGGGAGTCTTCTAGCCTAAAGGTTTAAGATCCTATAATATATTAGTATTTAAAGGATAACTTATAACAAGTTTACTAAATATAAGCATCAGTATTCTAGATTTATTAGTTCCTCAACTTATAATCTTTAAATATCTAATAAGAGCTTATAAATCATCTTCCATAGTACTGGTTATTCATTGTCCAACTTCCCTCCCATTCTTGAAACCACGGAATTATCTGGTCGTCTGCATAGTCCCACGTTTCGGGCAGTTGGTATCCGGCAGGAATACGGACGCGATAATTCCCTGGTGCCATATGGTAGAACCCCTGTGGCTGTTGATCACGGTCCATCTTGGCTATCTCGACATAAGTCCAACGGTCTAACCGGTCGCACAAGAATCTTTCCCAGTCTTTGCACCCACGACCGATTTCGCCATTTGCGTATGCATAACGAAGTGCACAGGAAACAGGCCCGGGCTGCATAGTAACAGATAAGTGCCGATCAGTATCCATCAACTTCCATACCACGGAATAGACGCTCCCCTCGAGGACATGGTCAGGAGTGTAGTCTCCTGGTGGTTCATTTCCAAGTTTGATGATTAAAGAGCTTGGTCCGCCAATCTGATGACATTCCTTGCGAGAAATGAGTCGAGTTGTCAAATCAGGCCAAAGCATGTCCCTTGTCGTCCAACCCCATTTGGCCCGTTCCCGGAGTGATTTGCCAAGGGCATTGTCGAAGGGTTTGAGATGGTAAAACTTGTGAAATACCACGGTTGGAACTGGAAGCAGGGAGTAGGCTTTATTCCAAGATATAACATTCAAACCAGCCGTCGTAAGAGCTTTGTTGATGATTTCCACGATGGGAGAATCGGGCGTAGCCATGATGACAATATACAGATCCGGGGTATTGTCACGGCGGAATATTTTTTGTTCCGAGTCGGCTCTGTATCCTTCATGGGCAAGCAGATACTTAATAAAACCCTGGCATTTGGGTCCCCGTTTAATATATAGAAGCAGAGAGCTAACTTCCCAACGATGAAATTCGAAGAAGTTGCGGACAAAGTCTCCTGCAATGAGCCCGTCATGTTCTCCAAGCTCCTTTCGGAAGCGCATCGGGTCGTTGACAAAAGCTTGCAATTGCCTCGTGATGTTGAGCAGGCATGGTGACTCCGTCATGTAATCCACCAACCAGCGCAGAGATCGGCATGATGCGTGCAATGAGTATATATCTGCGATGCCGAGGTGAAAAAGAACTGTATCTACTATGGTCAAGTTCGGGCTCTGCGACTTATCACTTAGTAATTCGATAAGGTTTGAGGCAGGTCTTGTGAAGGAGGCCATGATACTGGGTTGTGTGTGGATTTGTATTCTGATGGTCGAGGATTTCGGAATGTTTGCAGTAGCGGGGTAATAAGTCGCCGGCATGATTATTATTCCGTTTGCTGGATTGGGGGGCGGATAGAAAATGATCCAAGTTATGTAAGATTCTTCCGATGCATATTGCCTGCCATGCTCAGATGAATGTGATCGATGACGAATAGAAACGTCGGAATGATGTGAATTAACATTTGAGCGCCCATGAGTCGCCCAATGATGGCGCGCAGCGTTTGCACGCGATATGTAACGCCGTTTCTCACCACTGTGGTTCCAACAGCCAGAACGCCGAGGCTGTTCTGGCCTTGAAGAAAAATAAGCATTGCAATGATACTTGCTGCAAGAGTAGCCATAGAGTGGAAACTAGCCGTGAAGGTCCTTTATACTATTACCATGCCAGTAAGCGCTGATTTGATCAAGAGGGTATCGAACCGGCTTCGGTCACATTAGCGAAAGAGCTTCAACGTTAAGAAAGAGAGTTACTGGTTCCACATAACGCGATCTGCTCAGAAGCCTCTATTGCTCTTCCCCACGGGCCAGGGATGGTGATTATAGTGTCAAGCTGGGGTTGTGACTGCAGTGAAAGGAGTAGCCATCACCGAGAGTCGGAGTACCGTACGACGCATTTCCAACCGATGCTGCTGTAGAGACTGTAGTGGAATGTCTGTCGCTTTGTTGATGCCGTTACTTCGGACATGTGAACTTCACAGGAAGGATGTAGTAGCAGATCCAGCTGCTGTTGAGCCGAATGGGTCGTGTGCTTCGGAAGAAGGGAATATCGGGATTCGGAAAAGGACCAATATCAATAGCTACAGCGCTCAACTGCCTGGATTCAAGTGTCGGGTGTTAACTCGCCCCAGATGCAGGTCTTCTGCCTTTAGCATGAAGTCACACCATCTATCAGCATCCAAACCACATGGGCAACATTCCGGCCGGGATATCCTTGGGCTACTGGTAGGTACACCTGCCTGCCGCATAGGTCTTTCTCCCCAACTAAAGATCGTTGAAAACTTACACAATTATCCGAGACACGGAATATATACTCACGGAATTCCGGATTGTCTTCGCACCAAATCAATCAGATCAGACCAGCTCGCTCACTGCTTCAGCGCTACCATTGATACTTTATACTGTGAACGCGGAGGAGATGATGTCTCTCGACAGGTTAAATATGCTCAACTTCTCAATAGTACGTCCGCTCGAGATCACCGTTCGGGGAAAACATGGCGCGAAAATGTGATTATAAAACTGCCCATCGTTATTGCTAATGCATACAAATTTTCCCTGTTCCCGGCATTCAGCCTTGCCGTCCCTCAGGATTTCAATAGATTGTCCTGATCATGTCACTTATTGTAGCAACGACCCCGCTTCCTCCTACGTCATGCCTGTAGTAAGCTGAACAAGGAATTTTAGTACGTAATTAATTATTGGCCACCCAGATGTTGGAGCCGCGTTTATTGGAAGTGTATTGGCGAAAGGATCATACGACTCATGCTGCGGGAGGCCCACCAGAAACGCAGTGGAGGTAGCTTCCGTGAGGGGATGGAGCATAATTGCCTAGTATATTAACAGAAGAATCTTCCCCCCTACTTCTTTCAATATATCGATATAATAGTAAACGTTTATAACACCAATGCACAAGGAATAATTTGTTTTCATTCTCAAACTCCGTCCAGAAAATGGAAGCGCGCAAGAAACGGATAGAGGCACTAGCTGTTATCGATAGAATTCCTGTTCACAGCTCAACGTCCTCTTCGAATCCATACAAGACCCAACAGAGTGTTGACAAAATACGCTTGAATGAGGACCATCAGCGTTCCTTTCATCTTGAAATATCTATCCCGGATGATGGTGATCGAGATTATGCATACTCTCACGAGTCACCACTTCCGAGAAGCTTCGACGAAGACATGTCTCCATCATCTTCACTCATAGATGCAATGGAGGAGCTTTTCATAGATTACAGTCAGACAGAAACACGGAACACTACAGCCAATCCCAAATATGGTCAGCTCACTAGGTCTTCGGTAATGCGGAACTGCGAGATAAGAGATCATCGTCCTGTAGAAGAAGATCACAAAACCTCCGAGGGAATTATGCCGACAGAACCTTTTGTTTTCACATGGCGTACGCCTCTCCTTTATTATTCGGCTGTGGTATACACGTACACTAATCATGAGCCAGCGAAATGCCCCTCAGGGATGAAGAACGCGCCGATGATAGCCAAGTGGGAAGTTTGCCGTATTGCATACCATTGTTCTTTGAGCCCAGAAGATGTACCCCTGAAGTATCTCTCACAATGGAAAGATCAAGACGTCTTCTGGAAAGACCTGAAACAGCACAACTGTTTCCGTGATAAGGCTTTCCCAGCAAAGTGCAATAGAGAAGTATGGGACCAAGGCCATGGACAAAATCCCAACGAGGAAAGAGCTGTAGAGTATAAGGCCAATCTACGTTTTTGCAATCCTGACAGAAAACCAAAGCTGGAGCTTGAAATACCTGTGCTTGGAAAAAGCTCCAGACTTCGCCGAAAATTTGGTTCTAATCGTTTTATAGAACTTCAGCTGCTCTTTGACGATGGATGCGCGACAATCCTCAAAAACAAAGACGAAAGGAGAGCACTAGCCAGGTGGCTAGTCCAAGAGCATCATCCATTTCTGTCTCAGACATGGGTAGCTTGTTACATCGAGGAAATAAGATCAAAAAAAGGGAAATCCAGCTCAGTTGCACCCAAGATAACCGGCAAGCGCGTTGTTTTGTTCGGAGAGCACGTGGTAGGACTCAACATTGGCTCTACTATGTCTGCTAGAGCTAGTCAGATCAATCATCCGTCAGCTTTGACGTCAGTTGATTCATTTTGCGACAGGTATGATGTACTGGACTGGCTTTTACAGCTGGACTCCAACGCAGATCAACCTTATATTAAGCTCTTTCATCGAATTTCATTAGGTAGCATCACCATGCCCTTTGTATGTTTTCTACTGATATCATTGCTAATACACCAGATCATGTTTGCAGGCCTAAGCAAAACAACCCCTACTGTGATGCTTATGGAAAACTCTATTCGGCACATACATACAGATATTGAATCTCCAAATGGAACTCCCATGAACGATGGCATCGGAAGAATTTCTCACTTGCTTTTGAGTGAGGTGCGGGATATCATGGGGCTGGACTTTCTCCCAACAGCTATTCAAGCTAGGATTGGTGGCGCTAAAGGGCTCTGGATGATGGATTCAACTCCTTATCCCCCAGACGAGCGCTGGATCGAGATATATCCATCGCAGCGAAAATGGGAATGCAACTGGTCTGATCCCGCCCACCGAATCTTGGAGGTGGTTTCCGTTTCTTCTTATAGGGGACCAGCCTTTTTAAACCTTCAATTCATTCCAATCTTGGAAGAGCGAGCAATTGATCGAAAACTCATGCGCACAACTCTTTGCGAACGCATAGATAAGCACATTCGTAACGACCTGGGCAATGCCAAAGCAGCCATGGAAATACCAGAAGCCTTTCGAAAATGGATCCATGAAACTTCCTCCCCCACATTTGTTGACAGCCAAGATAGCACATCATGGTTTGTGGGAGGTTTGCCTGCAGACTGGCCCAAGACGATGAGTTTTCTTGCTGATGGCGGTTTCGAACCAAGGAGGCTCGAATTCCTAAATTCCTTGATGTTCAGTCATCAAAAAAAACGTTGGGAACAGATGGAAACCAAACTTCATATCAGGATTGCCAAGTCAACTTCCGCACTGATGGCTATCGACTTCCAGAGGGTTCTGGCACCAAATGAAGTCCAGCTGTGCTTTTCACCAGCATTTGATGATGGGCAACAGACCCTTGATGACCTTGGTGGATTTGACGTGCTCGTTGGTCGCTGCCCAGCACATCTACCAAGTGATATTCAAAAGGTAAAGGCTGTGTTCAAGCCAGAGCTACGACACTTCAAAAATGTCATCGTATTCTCTTCCTTAGGTGATGAGCCACTAGCAAATAAGCTCTCCGGAGGCGATTATGACGGAGATAAGGCCTGGGTTTGCTGGGACCCAGATATAGTCGACAATTTCAAGAGTACTGATGTGCCGTCGCCGCACACTTTCAAGGAGTACTTCCAGCCCAACACTCAGACGCTAGGCAGTCTAGCATCCCGATACGGCAAGCCTCACTATCTGGACATGTTTCTGGAAGAAGCCTTCGACTTTCATCTCAGTCCCTCTTACATGGGCACCTGCACAGGGTATAAGGAAAGCCTAGCTTATCATGAGGGCAGTATCGGAAATGAGACCGTCGTCAAACTGAGCATGCTATTAAGTGCGCTTGTGGACCAAGAGAAAAGCGGATTCGAATTTGACGAGAACATCTGGTGTCGCATCAAGGAAGAGCAGTGTGGTGGCAAATTGTTCCTGAAAGCTCCAGCTTATAAAACCGACGACTTTACAGCTTTAGCTACCTCGAACCATATTATCGATTACCTCAAGCTTGCAATACACCAGCGGATACATGATGGGATTAGAGAGTTTTCTAATTACCGAACAGATTCTGGCATTGGATATGATAAGCCGGTGCTTACCACGTTTGATTCAGACCTTGTCAGCTATTGGAACGATTTTGAGAACCAAGCAAATCAGATAACATCACGACTGGATCCATCTTCCACATGGTTCAAAGACTTCCGGTCAAGTCTCTTTCATGAAATAGATGCATGTAAGAACTATTGGGTGAAGACGATGTCTGGCAAAAAACACTACCTTACCAAGGTCGTCCCTGTCCATGAACGGTGGAAGGACATCTTACCGACTTTTCAAAGTGAGTCGCTAGTTGCATCTCTGGTGGCATCCTCACTCGATAATGGGGTGTGTCGCTCGAGAGATTTAGGATCTTGGGATCTTCTAAAAGCCAGTCTCACCTTTAAGAGGCATCATACACATGCCAAATTTGTTTGGTACATAGCAGGTCGCCAACTTCAATTTATTAAAGTATGCAGAGGAAGAGGCGGTGATGAGAATGATGCACTACTTCCAATCCCTGTGGTCTCGAGGATGTACAGAATCTTGCGTCCAGATGCAAGGCGAATAGAGAGGACCCTTGCTAGTCAAGAAGAGGACCTTGAAGATGCTTGATAATAAGGTGGTTGTTCAATTGGTCAATTTGTGTACCCAAGGACCTGGAAGGCCCGAGAAAAGAAAATAGCTTCACCAGTTCATAAAAAGCAAGGGGAGGGTACCCATGTGAATACACATTCAGAACATTACACCGTTTGAAGTAAAACTAGGGAAAAAATGAATTATATATGGAACAAGAGGAGATATTGAATGGACATAAGCGCCTATCACTGAATAAAAATCAGAGTAGTGTTATAGACTTGTTATTAATGACGGTAAAAATATCAAAACCTAGGTCAACTAGAATCAACACAGCCTTTTTTACTTCATATTTGTATGTATCTGCACCCTCCCTAATTCACTTTCTGCTTTTATAACACCAAAGAACTTTTCCTAGTCTTGTAATGGTGTTTGTTGGATTCTGAATAGAACCAAATCTGGGGTCAAGGTTCAGCTTCATTCAGAAAGTTAATTAAACCACATCACATCCCCTGACTATAGGGCAACCTGACCTAGCTCGATTTGGGCCACGCTTTCAATACTGCTTTTCCACATCACTCACATCACTCTCTTGCGCACAACAACACTATAAAATTGCCTCAAGGTAAGGAATTATCGCCATCTTTACGATCTCGCATTATAGCTACAGAGTATTTTTCGTAGGATTCAGGAAATACCAAAATCAACGATCCGGTCAACTGTTACACCTGAAAGCCTAGAGGCATCTTTGACAAGAGCTCTGCCGGGTTAGATAAGACATCTCTGGACAAGGGAGGCCACTATATGCTAATATAGCCAGATACAAAAATAGGAGAAAATATATCTATTGTCCCCACCACCTATTCTATCTAAAACCTTCAATCACCCACTGCACCTATCACTTACAAATGAACCACTCCGTCGGGTTCGGGCTACTGATCGGCGCCCTCGGAATTGTCATTACGGCTAACAAATACGTTGACGAATGCAGCGCGGCCCATGCTACCTATACTGAACTTAGCCCAAGCGACTGCATCCACAATTGTGTCAAGTGTCTTGGCCATAACCCTCATTTTGGCAGTTTTACGGAGCCTACGGCCTGCCCCAAGAATGCTGCTCCCAACCCCTCTGCCCCTACCCCTTCCGTTGTCGTTGTTGTTGCCGCTGGTCACCAAGTTACACCTGCTCTTGCCCTGGTCCGGCGGCCCTGCTTTAGTCCGGCTCTTTCATTTTATCCAGCGGAGGAGTAAGTTCTAACTCATTTCCTACTCGGCATGTACATGCCTTCCTACAAATACCGATTTTAGACTAGTACACAGCAGGTCAATTGTCAGGAAGTTGAATTCACGCATAAGAAATATGTAGGTATGCCAATGATACTTCCCGCACAGCCAGCCTCAGCCATTGGCAGACCTCGAGGAGCAACCTTTCCAATGCCATGCTTCAAGATACGGCCAAACAGTTCGCAATTGGCTATAAATGTGTTATCATTCTTGCTGGTCGTCTTTGGCTGATTCCTAATTTGCTATTACGATCCAGTACGATGGAAGACGTTAAAGGGTTGAGTTGGCTATCGGCGCCGCATCGGGGCTGATTGGCCATATCCCATAGATATTTGGATCGGTCAGAACGTCCGAACTGTCGTGAGTATCTTCTGGTGACCGTATACTTGAGTGTAATTATAGTGAGAGATGAGAAGAATGGCCTGAGTGTCTCGATATTCCGAACAAGGCGGCGGTCATTGGCGCAACCAATGCAGAGGTAGTCTTTGACCTCTCTGTATCATTTAACTAAGTCGAACTCAGTTGAAGATATCACAGCGTATTCTGGGCGTTCCCAGTTCCGTCAGATCTCTGTTTCAGGCCCTTTGGAAAAGAAAGGCGGCGTTGCACTTGTGCTGGCAGCACAGCACTGCAGACAGTAGGTCCAACTGCGGTGCCTAGCTCTTAGTATACCTAGCATGGCCTGCGACGAATGATAGACATCGGGATGTCTTTTCAGCAATCTTTTCACTGCGTTCCTTGAACCGTGAAGTAAGACATCCGTTGATGGCGGTTGTAGCATTATATTCCTACACAAGCTAAGCACAGTCTACAACCACTATGCAACGTCATGATGAAAAAGGAGTATGAAAGGTGCAAGCTCCATTGCGTTGCGAACCTTTATCCCGCTCTGAGATTTTGGACGAATCTTTTGAAAGTGGGCCCCACAGCGACAAGGGGAGGTCTTCGCTAGCGACATCCAGCGATCCGGGAAGTAAATCTCCCAATATATTATGTCTACACCGTGTAGCTAACCTCTCGTTGATTGGCGATGCTGGGGGCCACTTGTTCACCGTTTTTTCTTGGTTACCCAGCGGCCATCCATTTCTCGACAGACTCCAGCGGCTCCCAGGCTCCAAAATTGAGTAGACTGTAAAATCTGGATCTGAAACTAGAGAAGCAGGAAGACGACGAGAAAATACACAAAACTCACCAATGAGTCAATTAGTAGTAGTCACCGCCAACAAACGATGCTTGTAAAAAGCTGAACCATATATACCGCTAGGTTAGGCTTGTATCAACGATAAGCAAGTCTGATCCTATTCATCCTGGTAACCAACGATAGGAAACACTTCTCGCGACAGTCCCATTACTCATAAGAGACCGAATAGTAGGCATTTTCTACGGTTTAGACTACGATGGTATCCAGTTGACTCCGATGGCTTTCTCTATTTATGTCCCTTTCACATTCGGTCTGCATAAGGACCTTGGCCAGATGTCTGATGTCTAGCAGTCATTGGTCATCCGGCAAAGCACTTACCAATGGGCTCGGTCACTTACTAAGCGCTTATGATGATTTCAATGAGGCCATTGATGTCTGTGGTGGAGCAGTAGCGCTTGTGACAGCTAGTTTTAAATGCAGTGTCATTAAAAATCCGGATTTTGTATGGAAAATCGAAATTTTGGTAGTCCAATAAGTGGGGGTAGGTGGTATTGCTCGATCATCATTGTTAATCTAGCCATTTTGACCCATTACAATGACTTGGTCACCCGGGAGGTTCCTTTCTCGGTACGAAGTGGCGATGTTGCTTGTGGAGTTTCGCGGAGTTTATAGTTATCACCGACACTTTAGAGTAGTGGTAATTAGCAGTGGATACGATTTACTCTAATTGTCTCGTCCCACAGTAGCGGAATAAATGCTATAAAATAGCAGTAATTTACGTATTTTGCTCATTTTTGCTTAAAACATATTCATTCTTCCTTCGCGTCATACCACATTCTACCCCTGGTTCTAGATTATGGAACACTTTACCATCTCCCTCCAACATGGAGAAAAAGTCACAGGCATTCACTGCTTACCTGCTCGTTCCGAGTCTCCCCTCAGCTCTCGTCCTTTAATTGTTGCCCTCCATGGTGGCGGCTACGATTGCCACTATTTCGACGCCGACTCTAAACATACCGCGGCTATCTCGGCCAATGCCTATGGTGTTCCGTTTGTGTCAATCGATCGTCCATGCTATGGAGAATCAACTTCGTTCCTCCCTGTTCCAGCTGATTCCGACTTTGTGATGGAGACGAGTGTTCGACTACACAAATATATTCTACCTGCACTCTGGGCTGAATATGGGGTCCCCAGTGAATGCAACTGCATTGTGCTCTTTGGTCATAGCCTTGGCAGTATGTTTACCATAGCGACAGCAGCTATGCATGCCAAGGACGAAAGTCCCTCTTATGTACTAAGTGGAATTATTTATTCCGGCCTGGGCGATATCTGGCAGCCTCATATGATGGAAAACTTTCTCAAGATGTCGCTTGACCCCATGGGCCACGCATTGAATTCTCCCAAGGAGAAAGATGCCACTATGTTTCGCTCAAATACCGTGGACCCCAGCATCCTCAAGCTTACGGAGCAGCTTGATGCACCAATACCATTGGCTGAAATTCAGAGTTTGCCCGAATCCTGGCTTCCCAGCTGGAAGGAAAAATGGGCGGCACATATTCAAGTTCCCGTCATGTACGCTTTAGCAGAGCAGGAACCATTCTTTATTGTCTCGAAGGAGAGATTGCAAGTATTTACTGAATCATTCTCAAGTAGCCTTCGGGTTGATGGCAGCTTCGTCCTTGGAGCACCCCACTGCATGGAGCTGAGTTTGTGGGCGCAAGGATGGTATGCGAGGGTCTTTGGGTTTGCAGTAGAGTGCTCTGCGCAACGTGAATGGCAGACAGTCAGCAAGTAGACGAATTTAACACATCTATCTCCTGTTCCTCTTTCATCTCTTTTCACTGTGTATCTTTTTTATTGCTGTGCTCTCCTTGATAGAGGAACACGACCTCAACAACCCTCTAATGCCCTAGTGTGTGATAGACCCGATATAGATTTCTCGGTTCTAAAGGTTACCCCGAAAGGAAGCTCCGCCATGAGGCGTATAAGCAAAGGTCAGATAGAACACGAGACTATGATGAGCATGTGTCTTCCCAGCACTGAACTCCACTTACATGGTTGCTGCTATACGTTAAATTACCCCCTAAACCACTATCCACTCTGAATGTAAACCTGACCCCTAACACTCTGGGCTTCACAGCCTTGAGAAACTCTTTCCCTTATCCTAGGAGAGTCACACTTATCCATGCCCTGTAAACAAAGAGTTTTCCCTACCCAATCTACTGCATTAATAAGCGTAAAACTCCTATCTATTCTCTTATCCCCCTGGAGACACAGCGTCACCTCATCCCGGCCAAATGATATATTGGCTGAGAAAGAAACACTGCTAAGCTTGAGATTGAGCCGGAAGATGATATTAACACGGGGAATTTTCTGTGTACTAGAGTATATTACGCCCTTTAGTATATGGCTAGAGCGACAGAGGGCCGAGGTGCTTAGTAATAGGGTGTTCAATGCCCGCGAGATGAGTAACATCTAATAAGGTCTAGACATCACTACTAGCTTTTTGCATAATAACAGACACTCATTTGCAGCTCATACCTAACTTCTTTGGGTTAAAAGCGATGCCTATTAGGAACACTAGTGAATGAGAGATTATGGCGTTAATGTTTGCCTGAGTTAGCCTGAGGATATCTATCGCTGTGTAGGAGTTTACCTAGAAGCTAAGATGCTTATCCAGGGCCACTGAGAGGTCTATATTAGCGCACGCTGACCCATTGAACGGCTATTTTGTGGGCTAAAAATGCACTGTGATGGACTGAGGGGCACGCCGGAATATGTTATGAAGCCAGTCTTATAAGATATCTACCTTTACCAGGGGCACTGTCATGACTGTTTCTAATGGTAAAGCCAGCGGTGGTGGTAAGTAGCTGAGCTGAAGATAGTACAAAGAAGTTAAGCAGGCTGTCGGTCGGGATCGTGGCGTTGGGCATCAGGGCGCCGTCCTTGGGAAGACATTCTGGCACTAGAATAAAGCTATTGATATACATGGACGCAAACGCATCCTGAAAGACTTTTTTTAATGGTCCGGGTGCTGCTGGTGAGTGAATAATAGTGGGAATTAGCTTCTAGTTTCCGCCTTTATCGCTGCTATTAACTTCGCTTTTATTATCACTACTGGTTAATAGTAAAATAGTATCCTAGCTGGATGTAAGAAACTGAGAGAGGTACCTCCCGTAAGATCAGTATCTATTACTGTCCCGGTTCCTAAAACCCCCTTTAAAAAACTGTGTGGGAATCTCCTGTGCGTATGGCGAGTCCATTATATAATTTCAGTGACTATTCTCTATCCTTCTACCTTCACATACGTAAGCCACCACATTACAAGAGGGATTATTTGGATCTGTACTCGGCTCAGTGTCTAGCCCACTAAGCATCTAAGTGAACATATATAGAACGGGCTAGCTAATATAATGCTCATCGGAATGACTTATCTCAGGGACTGTGGACTTGGTTAGCCATGCGCAAATTACCCCCCTTTAAGTATCAGTAAGGTTATAGTTATTTGGAAGTTCCCCTTTTAACTCAGAAGTAAGACTATAAGTAATATCCTATAGCGGAATTAGATTGTTGTGTTACTTGCTTTGATGGATTATGGCCTGTTCTTACGCTGTATATATTCCCTTGAGCATGCGGTAGTAGAATTCCTTGATCTTGGGTTATATTTATTTAGGAATGTTAAACTATGCACTCCTAAGAAAGGTTAGCCACTTCGTTAAGAGAAATGGGTCCTTAGCAGGGTTTTAGGAGTAATATTGTATATATATCTGGTGTTCAGGTGAGTGACCATCTTCATCTAAAATAGTATCACCATATTAGCAAGTATTTACTCTGTCAGTGCTGGGAGAAGAGGGGCATAGAGGTAATTACTGGGTACGTAGATGATTATGTGTGTTTTCACTGCCCGAACTGCTAATAATAAATATAGGCTTTATATACTTTTATATCTTGTCTGGGTTTAAAGATGTAGCGCCCCGATGACTAAACCTTACTATAGGTACTGAGTTGTTATTGCTTAGGAGGTATTTTATCTAATTATAAATCCTCTCCTTAACCTTGCTATATGTATCGCCACCCAGGTAGTGAGAAACCAAGATGTTTGTGGCCTTCTGGTTGTTATCAATATTGAACCGGAAAAAGTAAAGAAAGTCATGGCCAAGCTGCCTCCCTATGTGAAAAGAAAGCATAGTGATACCTATGGCCTCTGTATGCGGGCACGAGATTTGCGAAACCCGTCTACTGTCCACGAACTTCACTAGCTCATTTGATGCCTTGGTAAGTCTTAGTAGCAAGCTCACGGTACTACAGCTAGGTGCATTGCTGGAGGAAAAGACGCTAACAGCCAGAGAATAGGAGTCGGATCCTGAGGAGGAGAGGATGCAAGCCCTGATTACATGACGTGGAACGGACAGCTATACTATTATATAGCATTGTACGGTCACTGGCGAAGCGACGGCTTCCATCACCCGAGGACCCTTCACGCTGACTCTCGTGCCCCATCCACTTCAAGGGGGCTTCACCCACAGCAACTTCTACACTGATCTGTATTGTGCCCTCGCACTCATGGGCCTGACGTACACCAATGCCTGGAAGTTCAGTGAGAGTCTGGCTATGGGCGACGTAGCTTTTTCCGCCGCCCTCGCTCACGTTCGTAACCCCTTTATGACTAAGCTCTCACAGTAGCAAAAAAGAAGCCCACTCCGGACTGGGCGGGTTTTAGTCGCGAGCCGAGATGGCAGCAGGCATGTTAGATCTTGTCTAGGGCCTCAATCAGCGCATTATATCACAGTGAAGGTAGTTCATCCACAGCCTTTAATGTGAACCGGTGGCATCACGCCGACTGGCAGATTGTCAGGCACAGGACTATATCAGCCTCTCACGCTTCTCGCCACACATATCATCCCGCCTCCCTGCCTACGCAGATATAGTGGCAGCGCGGTACTTGATGGCAAGTAACGGGCAGCTCTACAACAAGTACAATATCCCAGACAACCCGGACTACGCTCAAGTCTACTCCTGGGTGCTTAGCAAGCTACACCTCGGTAACATACAGGCCCACTACCTTATCCCGGGACCTTCATACCTGCCTGAAGAGATGATACGCTTTTAAATCTAAGATACTATATTTATCTTCCGATTTTGACAATCTGACTCCCTAGACCTGACTTAAACTGTACATCGATAAGTCCATTAGTGTTTGTTTCTGCATCCTCAGGAATTGTTATTACTTCATCGTCCTCGAAGTATTCATTTACATCACATGCTCTCGTTGAACTCGTCACAAAGACCTTTACCATCGCCCCTACACGTTTATTATAAACAAGCCGGCTGAGCCCCTCCATAGCCTTCTTAGTCTCATTAACAAAGTCTTCAGTTTCGATGTAGTTAATTCCGTCGATGAAAACGAAAACTGGAGTCTTCTGGGGCAGTGCAGCAATCAGCCTATGGAGCAGACGTCGCTGTGTCTTGAGTTGTATTTCGGGGCTCTGTTTCTTCAACTTCCCTACAAACCTTTGGTCAAGGCATGTCAAGTCACCAAATCTCCATTGTGTGACTAACTGGCCTATGAGATCACGGAGTAGTCCAGCGTCGTCGTATGGCTCACTCTCACTAGGGGTACTGAGGCCACAGAAATAAGTCAACACAACAATAGACTCGACTGTTTTCAGGCTTTTGGCCAACATGGAGCAAAAGAAAGAGGTTGGAGCAACCCGTTCCAGCGAATGGTTGCCATTGACAAGTAACATTCGCGACTTGGTTGATTGGAACCACTTGCTCAATAGGCTGTTGTTCATCATCCAGCGCGTTCGAGCCTGCTCTGATTCATCCATTCTGAACCCAGCATGAAGAATCTGGTCCAGTGGCAATTCGAAGGGAGACACAACAAGTGATTGTTCTGGACTATATGAAGGCTTTGGGAGAAGTAAAGAGAGCAACTCATGCTTAGAAATGTAAGCCACCGGCGAATCTTGATGGTTAAGATCTGCAGTCTGGCTTTTGGCCTTGAACAGCTGCTCAAACCCTATACCAGTCAGTGGGCAAGAAATATCAAGATAGGAAAAGATACTCACATTGGGCATTGCGGAACGAAACTCGCATAAATATCAAGAATTGGTTTTTCAGCGCAGTCAGATCTTGTCGGATACCATTTACGCCTTTGCCAATTTCGGCTAGCTTCTTGGTATTGCAAAGGCCGATGACTTCCTCGAATCGGGCTGACTTTTTCCCTACCTCTTCCAGGCGCCCTTTCAAAGGGTCATAAGAAGTTTGCTGTCCCAGGATTTTCAAGAATTCAACTTCTTGTACTTAGCACAAGTAAGAAACGCGATAATTGAATCAGGACTTACAGGTATGGTCTTTTAACAGCCAGTGGATCAGGCCCTCGATTGCATGTAATATCTCGTAATAGAGATCATATGCTGCTACCTGAAGGCTAAAATCATCCTTATACAGCTCTGAATACTGGCTAACTAAGTCAATCCTGTCAGGCAGCCTGTTGATGAGGTCGAACGATTCCTCGCGGAATTTCTTGGCGGCGGCGCATGCCTGTCCAGGAGAAGAGGTGAGTAATACTCGTACGGGTTTCCAGCAGGGTTTCCTCACCTGTAAAATGAATATGAGGCCAGTGCATATAATTGACGTGTACGTGCCGCTGGGAATGAAGTCGATATAAGGTTCAATAGCGGCTGGCTTATCTGTAGCCTTGCGAAACCACTTGTGCACGATCTTGATTCCGGTAGGATTTGAGTAGTGACTCTCGCCTTCACGGAGAGCAGACAGAACATCCTCCCAGTTGTGCTGCTTGGATATATTTGCACGTACTTCTGCCATCAACTTGTCATTGTCTCTGCTGAATGGTTTTGGCCATCTGGACTTTTTCTCATCGTCCTTTTCATCCTGTACACTATCCCATCGTTCCAATATTTTAATGAAGCTGTTGTTTTCCTCTGTTGCTCTCTGCTTAGCATTCCTTATTATGGTCAGTCAAACATCAAAAGCGGCGCTGAAATGGCTCTTACTCAACAGCAGTTTTTTGTTCGTTGACAAATTTCCCCACAGCCTCGTCATAAAACGATTGATCGTTTTGGAGCTCGGGGACTAGGGATAACCAGATCACTTCGAGGGACTCGAGGGTAGGGTCTGGCAATCCGGGCCCAGGGGGGAATCGCCCATTATCAGGGACGTTGGCTTCAGTATCCATCTCGGTTGAGGGATAGAAAGTAGGAATGAGAGAGAGCTAAGGGGGGGAAAGTGACAACAATGAATTTTTGAGCCTCCTAAACTTCGTTCTCGGGGGACTCATCAGGCTCGGCAAACGATACCCACCGACCAAAATTGATGACCATCCAGTCATCGACGGAATGCAGGCAGTGAGTCATGTTCGAACCGTTTCAAAAGTTCTTTGCATAAATATTGAGGCCACTTACACAGTCGCCCATTGGGAGTGAAAAGATAAGGCGGCTGGCGGAGATCCCGAGCCTAGGATTAGCTTTTAGGCTGACCAACCCAGGCACAAATACACTCGCTGACCACCCCTTTAACTGCAAGGTGCTCGCCCTGTTTTGGAGAGCCAATTGACTAGAAACGCGTCGCTGGTCAAATGAAATCTGGCCGCCCTGATGTGATAGTCGTTGGCCTGAACAGGCGAATAGTTACTTGCGCAAGTATTCTGTCCTGGCATGGCTGAATGCAGTCATCCAATATTTCGTTTACCGTTCAGGGTTTGACCAATCTCTGCTTCAGTGGCTTTCCTGGCTGGGGGGGGACGATAATGCATTCGTTCCGACCGAATGACCAACCTGCAGTCTTGGCAATCAGGCTCGGCTCAGGCTTGCTGCATTTACCCGGTATCCGGCGATACTTAAGGTGTTCTAAGTAATGCTTTTAGCTAACAGTAAACAAAAGATCATATTGTTCAGGTTTTATTCACTGGGCATAAACATTACTATTTACGGAGGGATCTACCGATGGCAGCCTCCGATCAAGCAACCATGTCTACGTCTCCCGGTGATGTGCTTACCGCCAGCCCTGCGGAAGCAGGAGCGGGTATAGCATTACCATTGTCTGCGGATACAGAAATCTCAGGAGAGACCAATACTTCTACCTTGCCACAGGGGCCCGAAGAGGTGACAGCATCTGTGGAGATAGGGAATGGAGAAGAGCATCAAGAAGCCAATCACTGTCCAGAAAATGATGCGTCTAAGAAGGATAATCAACAGCAGCCTGATATCGAAAACAATATTGACAATGACCTTCTCGAGGGATCGAAGGAGGCTCATAAAGCATTTCTTGAATTTTTCGAACAACTAGATAGGAGTTTCTATCCCCATAATCAGTATAGCCGCAGCGCAAGGAGGGTTGGCCGTGCGCAAGACCTGATCCAGGAATATGAAGCAAGAATGCCTCTCAAATGGAGAATTGGACAAGCGAGAAAGCGTTCTTTCGTAATCACGGCGTACTTCCGGCTTTTGGAAGACAGGTAATGGGTTTACTCTGTTAGTAGCTAACACTAACCATCTTACAGGCTTTTTTCGCTAGAGAGCCAGTCACCTGAGGATGGCCACTCGTCGTCCGGAGGAAGTTCCTCTGACAATAATAATGGCGAGGGTTCAGATGGCGAGGGTTCAGATGACGATGATGAGGCAAATGACACAATTTCAACGTTGAATAGAGTACCATGGTCAGAATTCAAAAGAAACTTCGAGGAAAATAAGGAGCCTAGCCAGAAGCACGTCATCGACGTACTGATGGATAATCCCGTGATTCCGCACGAAGTCTGGACCGACCAGGTTGCAAGAAGGCATCCTCAGCATCTTGTCCATTTTAGGCGCCGAATGAGGCCTTTTCCGTTCGAAGAGCAACTCATTTTTGGCGACTTCGACGATCCCAACGCAGCTCATCCTAAGACCCGGGTCGAACCATCTAAATCCACAACTACAGGCCAACCTCCCCGGGATGCGTATTCCCCGATCCCAGACCGAATCCGCATTAACGGAAATTCTTTGAAGCTACTTCTTGAGAAGGCCCTTGAAGTCGATTTGGCCAGTCCTATCGTATTTCTAAAACCTTTCAAAGTTCTTGTCAAGTATGACGGACAGATCAGAAACCTCCATCAACAGCTAGAGAAGAAGTTTTCTCGGGACTGCGCAGAGCCGCCGACAAGTTCAAACAGGCCAGAACCTTCGCAGACCATTGGCAGCCGATACTCAAACGATGACGGGGAAGCTTGGAATTCGCTTTTGGATGAATATGGGACAAAACAAGCCTTCAGACAGCTGTCCTGTCTTGTTGAATTCATGAACAAGGATCTCATTCCTCTCAGATCTTTTGCAGACTCCACAGCCACGAAGATCGCTTTTTCTGATCTATGGCATATCTTCCAGGCTGGCGTTACAGTTGTCACAGCCACTACGCCTATCGAGGCTTACCGAGTACTGCATGTTACTGGTGGTCGTCCCTACCTCTCACCACCAGAGGACAAGGAAAACGATGAGGAAGCCACTGGCATGAATTTATATAAGGTTCCAGCAAAGTCCAGCGATTTTATTATTACGTGTTACCAAGTTGGGTTTGATGGAGACAAGTTTGGCCCTATTGCTAAATCCTTCAGCATTCAGAAGTACAACGGGTTTCAAGACATCAGGTTGCTCCCCATATACCCCATGAGCTTTGCTGAAGGTCCAGAAGAGTTGTCAAAGAAGCTTTCTGGAAACGGCAAAACCTTCATCAAGCTATCCAATGTCGGACATGTTCTATATCGCGGGCCTAACTTACACGAAGCCGAGGAGATCGATAGCGAAATTATCATTGACTTCCGCGCCGCCCTATGGGATAACCAGGAGGAGGACAATGGATGGAAGGAGAAATATCAAGTAAAGTTTGGCATACCGACTCTGCCCAATGCCAACGAGGCCGAGGTGACCATGATTTCGCGAGGTGGCTGCAAAGAATCCATGTGCTGCGAAAATGATAAAATTTTCAACGACTTGGACCTAGATCGCACCTTTTTGGAAGATTACCTCGCAAAAAACGAGTTTTTGACGACAGATACTCGTTACCTGACGGATGACCCTCGCCATATCCCCGAAGATGACTTAATTCTTCTTCCACGTCAACTCTTCGCATTTGTCCTCAAGGATCGAAAATGGGGTAGGTTGCATGGATTAAGAGTGCCGCTTTTTCCTCTCCTTGTTGTTGCTAACATCTCTTACCAGCCGTCGTGGACATCAACAATATCACTGAATTGCCCGAGTCCACGAGCGAGGCATGGAAATCCCTCGTTCTGCCCGGTGGCCACAAGGAAATGGTCTATTCTCTTGTTCAGTCACACTTTCGAAGCAAGAACCTAGGAGTTGCGGAGGCTGAGATGCAAGCAGATTTGATCCGCGGAAAGGGTACATATTTCTACCTTCTTGAGGCCTTCTCTTACTAACCTACCTTTCTTTCACCAACTACAGGCAAAGGCCTTATCGTACTCCTCCATGGTGCCCCCGGTGTTGGAAAGACCTCGACTGCCGGTAGGACTAGACTTACCTATCCACGTGACTACGAAACTAACATAAGATGTAGAATGTGTAGCAGACTTGTGCCAAAAGCCTCTCTATCCGATTACTTGTGGTGATCTCGGTATTACCGCCGAGCAAGTTGAAACTCGACTGAAGCGAATTTTCGTTCAAGCGCAGAAGTGGGAATGTGTTCTTCTCCTTGATGAAGTATGTAAACCCTGTGTTTATAATTACACTCAGCATTGGCTAATGTCGTAATAAGGCAGATGTGTTTCTGAGTGAAAGAACTAATGATGTTAAGCACAACAGTCTTGTCTCAGGTCTGTTAACTTTCACCTCGAATGTAGCTACGGCTAACCATTGAAAAAGTCTTCCTTCGTATTCTCGAGTACTACAAAGGAATTCTCTTCCTTACCACAAACCGAGTCGGTCGCATGGATGAAGCATTTCGGTCTCGAGTTCATGTCAGCCTTTACTACCCGCCCTTGGATGAGAAATCCACGCTGGACATATTCAAAATCAACATTCAGAGAACCCAAAAACGTATGGGGGATAAGATGAAGATCGATAACGTTAGCATCGAAGAATTCGCGTATGATCATTTCCAGGGAAACCACCAGCGCGTTCGTTGGAACGGAAGACAGATCCGCAACGCCTTTCACATTGCCGTCGCGCTCGCCGAGAATGAGGCTATAAACAAAGCCAACAGGAAAGAAAAGAAGAAGTACCGTGCTCCAACTTTACGCGCAAAGCACTTTGATACTGTTGAGCAGGCTTCAAGCCAGTTTGACAACTACCTGAAATCCGTCTTGGGGATGGGACAAGCCGACCGAGCGAAACAGCAGGGTCGCCGCAGAGACGATTGGAGCCAGGAAGTGTCTCATAATCGAGGCGAAAACGATGAGCCAAAGACAAAGCGATCTTGCAAGAAACGAAGAAAATACAATATCTCTAAGTCATCAGATGACTCAAGCAGCGAAGAAGAAGCCCCTAGAAACGATGGCCAGCAGAGCTCGTCAGAAGAATCAGAGTCTGAACGAGAGGCTACTATTAAGAGAAAGAAGAAGACTGACAAGAAGAAGAGGAATAGTGGTTAGCTAGCTTCGTTGTTGTGTTATTTTGTGGAATGGAAAGGGAAAATAAAATAAACAAATTCTCAAGTTACATTAAATTAAGTTAAAATAAATAAATAAATAAGTTATTATTTAAAAATAAATACTAACTAAAATACATCTTATAAGGAATATCTTAAGATAAATTTAGCTATTACTTTATGGGGTCTCGGGTAGCTCTTTAAATACTGTGGATCTTAAGATATTAGTCCCACTCCCAGGATGCGGAGTAATTTTTCTGCGCCAAGAGCTCAGTTCCAGGATAGGCAATTATCATCACACCGCCCTCGAAAAAAGCGGCGCTCAGCAGGATTCGAACCATGACCTTCAGCACAACTATCAGAAATCCTCAACACCACAATTGCGGGCACTCATGCATCACAGGATGTCATCTTCAACGGACTGTCATAACAGCGCACCCTGCGCCAACTTGCGTTTAATTTGGAAATAAACAAATACCTGCTTAACGAGACCCGCGGTATTGTAATGTCCCCACGAATATGCTGTCAAAAGATCTAGTAACATTATGCCCCTCGCAATCCCATTAGCAGAACGTCTTCGTAGAGCAACATTCAATTGCCGACCCAATGTCTGCCAACAAGCACTGTTGAACAAGCTCTAATGCTGGTAGTCTAACCAGTTCTGTAGACAGAACTCCGCAAGACTCAACCAAGTCTAACTAAATACTGGGTATTGTAATAATATTTCCCCAAGCCCCTGCAACGCCAACATATCATCAAGAAACGTCTACATCTTGTGCGAGTCATTCCCCGGACGCCAAAATGTCATTAACCAGCGACCGCAAGTCATTCACCTGCTCAACCGACCTAGCCCGCAAGGTCTTCCAGCTCACACGCTGCAGACTCTGCAAGCATATCGCCGCGCCCAAGTCCTTCTCCTCATCAGTAATATCCTCCACACAACCCGCAACACCCTCCTGCATTAGCGCAACTGTATACTGGAGCGCAGCTCCCTTATCTGCGTGGTCATCTACCCTCTTTTGAGCCGCTGCCATATCAGCCTCTGCTTGTTCGGCTTCGCGGTTCGCCTCGTCTGATGTCTGTTTTGCGGGCAACCAGCGCCTCAAGCTCGGTAAGTGCGACCGCGGACTTTTGGGCTTTTGCGCTAGCGATATTACGGTTTGAGATGGCTTCTTGAAGGGCCTCCCTCAGAGTATCTGTTTGGTTGATGCGGGCCTGTGCCGCGTCGCGGTCGGTTTCGAAGAGTTGGAGGCGCTGTCGGTGTGCAGTGATGCGCTTCTGGTATTCCTCGATCTGTAGCTGTCGAGGACTAGATTGAGCTACTCAGCGCGGGATAATTGTATGAGTACTTACGGGACCTCTTGCTTCGGCGCTGGAAGAGACGATGCCTCGAGAGCCTTCTGCGTCCTCTTCATCCTCTCTGCCATATGTGCCTCCTGCTACAGCCTGGGGCTCACGTTCGGTCTCGGGGTTCTTGCGGTGTCTTTTGTGAGGTCGACCCTTGGATGGTGATGAGGTCATGTGTGCATCCCCGTCAGAGTCTGCGACCTCATCCTCGCCGTCTGGCGGTTCACATCCCTGCGACTTCCCCCCGATCTTTAACTTAATCCTGGTGACAATACCGTTGCTGACTACACCCTTGGCAGTCTGGTCCCGGTTCGCCTCTTCCTTGAGGCGAGCTACTAATTGCTGCACTGTGATGCCAGCTTTTCCACTCTGGGCCAGCTTGAAGGTAGTGGCGAGCTGCTCAAGCAGGCTCTGTCCCCAGCTCTGAGGAGCATGCTTGCTAAAGAGCTGCGACGGTTCAGAACCGGCTGCTGCACATATTCGCTCCTTGGCCCGTTGGACTCGTTCGGCACCGATCTTGTTCTTGTTCTTTGTTGACTGCGGGGGCGGAGTTGGTCCGGCCTTAATAATGTCGGCTATGGTTGGTGAAGATACGATCGTCTAGATACTCTGATGTTTAGCGCGTACGCGATTCAGATCGTGTTGCAGGGATGCCTTGACGTAGTTGAGATTACGTGTTGCTCATAGCTCATCCAATTGGCCAAGCTGGTAGGACCGGCTAAGGTGGGAACAGGACCCAATGCGATTCAAGGGCCAGGCACGCTACCTGGTGCTTCACCCCGGGCAGACGGTGTATATCCCCCCAGGCACCATACACTACGTCTTCCGAAGCTGAGCGACCCGACCCTCATCACGGGCGGCGAGGTACTTACATGGGCTGGGCTGAGGCGATGGCTGTGCCTTCTGAAACACCAGGAGCTCAGTTAGACAGAGCCGGAAGTCACCACGGACGAGGCAGGGGACTGGGTCACGTCCCTTATCGAGGTCGTGAAACAGCGTCGAGAGACACAAGACTAGGACAACATCCCTGGCGGGCGGGAAAAACTTGAGCTTGCGATGAATACACTCGAGGTTGGTTCTGCAATCGCACCCACGATATGATGGGGAATTTGCTAACGCGGGCTCGGTAGAGATGGAACGATTTCACGACAATTGACGACTTTTTTACATTTCAGGGCTGGGGCCCGAACGTTTTCTTGTGAAGCATCATATTTGCACGGCGTAATGATTGGAATACCGCATCAGACGGGGCGTACAAAATTAGCGGAATGGACACGAAAACAGGCTTACATTGATACCCATAATATCATTGGATCTGGGGAAAGATAAGGAGTAAATGAGTAACAGGGGCATCGCGAATCCCACTGTTTTTAAGGGAGTTTAATGAAGCTTGATTTATAAATAGCTTGAGGTTAGCTTAAAAATACCCTGCTATAGATCGATAATCGTGGAAAGTTTTGCGATGATCGCCTACTCTAGCTCTGACATCGACAAAATCATCCGTCATTGTCTGGAACTGATTACTTCGTTGGTATATTACCCTAGGCAGCACTGATACACTAACTCCTTCATTATCGCACCCTATCTTCCCTGCTTCTTCCTCGGTTTCTGCCAGGCCCGCATTCATCTAGCCCGACACACCAGACAGTGTGTAAGAAGAGATAGCAATCAATCTGGTGCTGGTCGCAATGTACTTAGTCATGAGCTGAAGTCAATCCATTGTTCAACAACAAGAAGGACTTATCAATTGAGTGGGATGTACGCGGCCATGAACACAAAGTTGCCTGCTGATCGAAAGACCACGTAGTGATAGTACCAACGCAGACTCTTCCGAATCAATGTCTCTTAAGCATTCTAGTCCAGTCATTAAAGCTAAATTTCCGATTCATCGGCGGTTTCATTCTCACTACATGCAAAGGGATTGAACGTATGTGTCCCTGGAGTATCCGCCGTGGTAGAAGCTTCGGAGATGACAATTCCCTCAAGTACTAGGCCCCAGTCAGTAAACTGCATGTTGTGAATAATTCCAGTTGAGTGGAATTACCATTATAGCCCATGTAAGATGTAAGGGATGCTCCGGCCGGCCCTGCTCCCACTACAAGGAATTTCGTTCGCACGTCGAGGCTCATGGCGGAGTGGTATGTTGAAAGCAAATGGAAGTTAGGTTGATTATGAAAGGCGCTAGGAGAACTTGATAAGTTGGAACAGCAGACTTAACTTCCAGGGCTATATAAAGGAAAAATGCAAATGCCATGCTTTGAATGGTTGGTAGTATTCGCTACTCGCGATCAACTCGGCTCTTTGTCCATTGGTCTCAAGATTCATTCGTGTAATCAGTGGGGCGTGGAATTCGGCACTCCTTGAGGTTCGGGGAGCTTTGTGGGGGTACTTTATGAATTCTTTGGCTTCCGAACAGGGTTTGAAACGTGGTATTGCGGACTATCCAAGCAGCAAGAACTGGGTCAGATTGGATGATAGAGGATGTATTTGTTTAAATAAAACGAAAGTGGAAGTTCAAAACTTATCAAGCTTATTATAGTCCCTACTATAGCGCAAGAAGGATAAACTAGCCATATTCTAAGAACAGACTTGCAGGTTTATTACTTGGATTTTTGTTTATGCTGGGATATTGTCAAGTGGCGTGATGCCTATACAGTAGGACCTTTGAAAGATCTGCGGGATTATACGCGTCGCTAAACATAAAGATATTGCTTTTAGGCTTCTAGCGATTTGGCGGCAGGTGCAGTATGACATAGACTCCACCAAGCTGATCATGGGAAGGTCAACGTATTGAAATGGCCTAATTAACTCGTATAAAAGGATCTATAGCTTAATTAAATAAGTATATATTAAGCAAAAAGCGATATTTCAATTCGGATAAATACAGTTATAATATATAGGTAATGTCTCTTTGTCCATTTATTTACATATATTTCCTCCTGATAGGGTTCCATACCAGGTCTTCCTCATCCTCGTCTTCGTCCTCGCTCTCCTCGCTCTCCTCGCTCTCTTCGCTATACTCAATGCCCTCATGATCATCGTTCTTCAAGTATAACTTCTCAAGTTCTTCCGCAATAATTTAGTCTGCATCTTAGACAAATATATCGCATAGGTCCACTAGCCTCAGCTTGGCAGCTTAACCGGGAGGAATTGACGGGCAAATTGGAGAATCTACGACAGCTGGGAAGCTAGAAGATCGTATCGAAGGCCCTTTCACTTGCTGTTATTTATTGATGCTGATAACTTGCCGCTGTATCTCCTTAAAATGTCTGATGCTGTGCTTCTTTGCCAGGGAAAAACAGATATTTCCAATGAGCCCCTGCAATCATTTCCTGGGAATCATTATGCTCTGGCAGTACCGAGATCTCACTGGCGCTTTGACTCCTGGTAGTGAGATGCTTTCGCGTTGAGCGTGAAGGAAGGCAGGGGCTTACTCGAAGTCAATATATTTGTGACTGGATTCTGTGACCTTATGTTTATGTTCAGAATAAAGTCTCCTTTAAACCTGACAGCCTTTTCACAGTTTATGACTGATATCGACACTCAAGGGCCGTCAACATGAATAATCAAGTAAAGAGATGTATCAACGAGAGACAGAACCTTCGATTTCTTACTTTCTCGAATTCCATAATCCCAAAAGAACGCCGCTGTTGGTATGCTTTTCCGTGACCCCACCGAGCTTTCCATCCATGTTGCTGCAATTTTGAGTCTCCCACCAGTTGCAGGCCATGCTCCTTGTATCTTTCGCCGTTGGTTGTGTGTCAAATATTCTGATTCTGCTAGAAATGAAAGCACCCCTGTTATTTAGAACGCTTGGGGCGCTTTATATCAGGTTGGTTCAACTCGTCGTCGCCGTCATAGTTGTCATTCTTTCGCTTTCTTACGACCTTCCACTTTGTTGCTGGATTATGCATCTTGCCGATGATATTGTGAATTCGGGGTTTCCTCTCCATTCCAGATAGAAACTCTTCACGTTCGTTGTCAGGCTGAATCAGCTCGTCATCGTTATTATACCTTCGCTTTCCTACGACCGTCCACTTTGTCGCCGGATCATGCAGTTCGTCGACGGTATTGTGAGCGTCGTATTTCTTCTTCATTTCAGGCAGACCTTCCTCGCAGATATGTTCGGTATCGACGATAAGAATCGGAATATCCGGGTTGCGGTCAACCCGTCTGTCGAAAAGACTCGCGAGCTCTACTCGGCGACTGAACTCGACAGCGCGGAAAGAAAGGGCTCGAGGCGTGTGGAGGAGATCCTGCCATAGTCAGAGTACGCCAGCCCGATCGATCTCGTTGAAGCGCTGGATTTGAGTGATGCTGGTCTTGAGGGATCGGGAGATCTTGTGGGTAGGGTTCAGTTGATCAAGAAGCTCTTGCATTTGTTCGGCGCAGGACCTGAGCTGATTGCGGATTTGGTCTTTCTTAATCATGACGGAGAATCTTGCGAAGAATGCAGAGAGGCAGCCTTCGGGTGTTTTGTCAAGGTGGCTCATGGGTGAGTTGCGTCTGTGAGCTCCCTGAGGAGGCTCTAACGTGGGTGAGGGACGTAGAGTTGAAATGCAGGCAAAGCAGAATGAAGACTGGTTGAGAGACAAGTCCATCTTGTACCAAGATTCAAGATTGCCGTGACGAAACAACTCTTTGTCTCTGGCACATTTGGTAGTCTTCTGGTGACAACAGGGTTGGCCTTTCTGCCAGTCGTTGTGCCTCATGATAGGACCTTGATTCGTCTGTGACATGACATGGATCGCGCGCTACTTTCGCGACAGATCATGTCGGTGGATTTGAATGGAACTGTCATCTAATTCGGAGGGTCTATCGTCAATGCCGTGGACTTTTGCAGTTGGGCGATGCTAGGCAGATGTCGTTCTCAAGCTATTTCTGGCTATGACCTTGTGTTGAATGGTAGGCCGGCTTTATTGCTCGTGTTGTGTTGATAAGAAAATTTAACTCAGAAACAAGGACCTTAGGTGAGATTCAGCTACTGTCGATGATTTCGAGTTACTGATGAGAAGGGTTTGCTGCTAGTGACAAGGAATTGCAGCTGATATGAAAGATTGCTGATGATAACAAAAGTCTACTGTTTGTAAGAATGAGTTGTTGTACAGAAGAATAGGTTACTGCCGATGCTGCTGACCAGAACGAGTGCTGTTGGTAAGAAGGAATCACCGCTGATAAGAGGCCACTGTCATTAGAATAAATGAAGAACAACAGAAAGTTACTGGTAGTATAAACTAGCTTCATAAGGTATGCAATACTCGCACCAGTCCCGCGTAAGCCTATTAAAGGCAAATGGCAAGATCTCGTGCGGTATTCTATTACCTCTATACCGGTGAATGTACATCAGTATCTTAGCTACTCCTTAAAAAAGGACCGGGCCGCAGCGACACCTGCAAAACGGCGCCAAAGAAGAGCAATGGATCGGTAGTCTCATAACGATGCGTTGCGACTATCCGCTGCTCGGAGTTTTGCAACTTCAGCATTGGTGCGACAGTCTGCAAGGGGGCTGTAGCCTTCAATTGCACCAGTGACCAATCTCTAGCGGCGACGCCCAGTAAGTCTAAACTTTACCAACACTGAGGTACTCACTGCTTCTGGTCAGCATTCACGCTACACTCTTGTGCTGCAAATCTTTCAAGAACCCCTCGGCTGCAGCGAAGGGAGTACTTGTGAACTCATGATCATGGCTTACGGAGTTGTTCCGCAAGGCAATGTTCACACGGCGCGCCACGTTGAGCAGTTTGGAGGGTGAATCACAGCTGCATACACAGAACTGTGACACAAGAAGCTGGGATAAGGCGATAACATTCAGTCACGCGCATTACGCTGTGCAAGACATGCAGGTTCATGATTTCATCTCGACAATTTGTTCGTGATTTCCTCTTCCTGAGTCTATCAAAAAGCGATAAACGTCCAAATTGGTATCATCCATGTCATCTCTCTTTACTGCAGTCCAATATGACCTTTCCTTTTAACTCCAAAAAGTCCAACAAAAATACAGGAAGACCACAAAACAATCAAGCGCGAGCATTTTTAGCCCGGGCGTCCGTGTTGGTGGCGAAGCTCTCGAGCTTCTTGATTCCAGTTGCCATTTCGTCGACGCGTCGATTGAGAGCCTGCATCTGCTCAAGGATCTGGGCGAGGATGACCCGGTCCTGATTTTAGTCCTCGAAGAGGTTGACTTGGTTCGCCAGACCGTGAAGATGGTGGACGACGGTGTCCTTGTTGAACGGAGGAGGAGACAGGGGCGGCTGCTGCTGTGCGAGAGGAGAGTTCATAATGAAGAGGCTGAACGTATCGCTAGTGGTTAGCAGAGTCAGTCTTTGGGCGTCTCTGATCGTACGTTGGTGTTTTTGTGGTTGCGCTTGGTTTTTGATTCAAGTTTTTGTCTTGTTTTGCTGTCATATTGGCATGTTATGCTTGAAAGCTCATCCCACGGAGTACATATTAACAGATTGATGATTCCATTCATTAATTTCAAGCGAAGCCAAATCCTGTTTCTATTGGTTTTGTGCTCTTATCTTAAATTTCTCTTTCATAAAAAGTAACTTAATGTGTTTTATTTTATACGCTTGGTTCTCTTCCTTTATTTTGTCCGATTCATTTGGTCAGTTCCGTATCTCCCTGAAGCGAGGTTGTACTGGGGCGTAGGTGAGATCGGGATCATACTTCCAAGGCACCCAATTAAGTCGCCGGACCATTGCTGTATCTTTTCAGTGCAAAATTGTTGATTATGCCTTACGTGGTAGTTCGTAGTATGACGAAAGAATCTACAAAGTTCCATCCAGCAACTCGCCATCCCGAGTGGGTTAAGTCTCAAGGCATTAATCCGGATGGAACCATTCTGTGATCCGCTGCTATCTGTATCCCGAGATTGTAGTTCTGTGGTTTTGTAATCGACATTGGCACTGGAAGAAGGAATAGTCCGTGACTTCGAGGTGGTCTCTTTTAGATGGTGCTCAAGGTCTTGGGTCGTTAGATTGGCCATTTTTCTGTAGTCTTTGATGACTAGACAAGTTACCGTACGTTTAGCTTCTATATGGTTAACTACCGTTTGTAGAGTTGAGCTTGAGCTGCAAACACCGGTGATGGATGATACAAGACACCATCTTCCCCAATAAACGCTTTACCCAGAAGCTCTTACGATACTAGACTGCTTTCAATATTGAGTAGATTTATGAGGTTAGTCAGCCTGCTATAGATCATCGATCTGTATTGTGGACTTCTACTCTCCAAAAATCTGTGAAAATTTTTAAAACTCTGGAGACCGGAGTCCCTGTCTCGGAATCTATGTATTTGAGTTTCACCTGGTCCCCAGAAATAGATCGTGTGGCTTTGAGCACGGGGACCTTAAGGTGAGGCTCAAGGTCTTTCGTGATTACCGACTTTATGTCTAAATATAGGTAAAGCGATATTAGTAGTTAGACAGGAATGTTTAGGAGCTCCTGGATAAACCACTTGTCTCCAGACGCATTGTTCCCATAGAAGCCCTGGCGTCCATTCGGCAAGGCCAAGGGGAACTGCACAGCGTAATATTGACCCCAAGAGCCGCGCTGCAACATATTTCCCACCTTGTTTCCCTCGAATCGTCTAATCGACCAGCTCATAGTGCTGCTGCTCTGTCCATAGAGATAGACATTGTTGCCAATAGAGTAGGAGAACTGCACATGGTATCTCTCATCCAAGTTGCCGTCAGTGAACTTTTCGCTCAAATTTCCGCCGGGGAGAAGTTCTCTGATAGTCCAGTAATTCCCCTCTACCCGATAGCGGTATAAGTACTGCCTACCAGCGACGGAATATGGAAACTGCATATCATAGGAATACTTATGGGTGCCATTGCTGGTTTGTAGTCCCATCTTGCCGCCAGGTAGGAGCTCTTGAATAAACCACTCGTTGTTGCTTCGGTTCTGGCCGTACATGTATGTCTTGCCGTCAACTGAGAATGAACACAATGACTCGTAGGTATTCTTCCAGAAGCCATTAGCAGTTTCTGTTCCCATTTTACCATCGTCTTGAAGACGCTGGATGAACCAATAGTTGTTGTCTGTATTCATAGCGAACAGATACAGTTGGCCCTCGATGTTGAGGGGAACAGCGATCCGATATGCGTTGTTCCATCGACCGAGTTGTACATCGACAATACTATCGCCGTTTTTGAGTTCGGCGGTAAACCAGTCCTTTGTCCCGGTATTTTGTGCGTAGATGAATTGTCGGCCACCAATCGAGAAAGGGACTTGGACAGCGTAAGGGTTGAACCATCTCGAAAGCTTAACCTCCAGACCCATTGGAACAGTCTCAACAGCATATTTGTCCTTGATTGCCTTCTTATCTAACTCAGAGAGCTTCTCGGGGCTGAAGATAAAGGTCTGGTCTGTCTTCCAGCGTATCGTCCGGGCAACGTTGCGATTCGCCATGGATGACCAGCCTTCGTTGGGGTCGGGATCGTTCATGACCGAATCGCGATCATACTCAGTCAGATTATGACTTTGGCGTACTTTAAAGTCATCATTTGATTCCCCATTGGCAATATTCTTCCACTCAAAGTTGACAAAACTGTCCCGATCGCTGCGACATTGCTCGTTAATCAGGCCAAGCGTGTGACCCAGCTCATGCAATGCTCTACCTCTCCTTTTCCCAGTGAAATATGCCATGCTATCCATTGGGTCAGGAAAGAAAACCTCCTGAGGCCCACCTTGCATTCCAATTGCAGTTTGGCCGTCACCCGGCTGGATGATGACATAGTTATCCTCAAACCGACGAGGGACAAAAGATATGCCGCAGGCTTTCTCCCACTCATCCAGCACCTCACGAACTTTCTTAGTGTGAGGCGGCATAAAGCTAATATTATCAACATATGGGACACATCGGTTCTTCCACAGCTTAACAGGGTCGGCAAGGGCAGGCATATTGGATGAATGGGTATAAAAAGTAATAGCTTCTAATATCATCAGCAGTTGAGTTTAAGTTAAGACCGAATATTTGACATACCTGGGGGTGATTTCTGGTTACTTGCGGAAGAAGAAATATCTCGTTTCTGAGTAAATGTCTGGATGAGATGGTTTCTATTGTGCTTCTACTGTCTCCGGATAACACCCTCTTTATATGCTTAGGTCGTTATCAGCATACCATGCTATCTCCTAGGGGCCTGGAATGTTGCTCGGGCATCACTTCGCTCTCGGGCCAATTATAACCCAAGATCAACTTGGGCATTGCTTCAGATTGGAACACTGACTGGAGAGTCGAGACCAGTGTGTCTGATTCTGTGCAGCCAGTCATATGCCACAAATTAGGGCCTTTGGCCTTCCTAGCTATATGTGTCAGGGAAGCTAGCGAGGGTATTCAGCCAGCCATGTAAGTTCCACTATCACGCTAAAGACCCATGTTGATCTTGATTGGCTTATCAAGTTCTACACGTATGTATGTTTTATTCGCGTGTTCCAATAAAGTTAATTACAATTATCTGCGCTATAATTGCATACAATAGTTCGATGCAATGCAATCCTGTTCAAATTGGGAAACCGGTGTATCTATAGGCTCAGTCACACAATTTAGCATAGACGTTCAGCCAGCCACCAATGCTGAGCTGTCAGGGTTTCCATGTCTCTAAAATTGGGTCATAGTCATGTCAAGGAAGAGGAAAGTATATTTTAAAATGCTGCTGATAAATCTATTCGCTACATCTCAATGCAATTATGTGGCCATGCCAATATACTTCACTGCCTGTTATAATCCACATCTAGGTATCACAAACCCATGACCTGCTGCTCGTATACCAAAACGAATCACTGTCCTCAACTAATTTTTGCTTAAAACAGGGCGCATTTCCCCCCCACTTGAACCCACAAGACTCCACTACTATTTGACACCTAATATTGATTGGAGCATCTGATCATTTGATGAGCAAACAGATCGATCTAGATCAAGCCCGTTGCTACCCAAGAGAGTTACTACTAACTTGACTGTCAAAATGTAGAATGTGTATGATTGGCCCGACTAGCTACCAGTGTGTCAAAGCTCGACTGATACATAAGGAGCTCTGCCCGCCCCCTTTTAGATAAGAATCAAGGCTCTTTTAACCTCTCTTATGTGACCTTCTACTATGAATGCCACATTGATCGAGATAGTTGTAGTATATAATGCAATAGTTGTGGACGAGACACACTAAGGAACAGGCGTTTTAGCCATCTACCCATTTGTTGTCAGTATGGTAAATTGATTGTAGTTACTGTTTGTGTACAAATTGCTAAGGTTGTGAAAAAAGATAGATAAAAAAGATTGTGATTTTATAAAATAGATTACAGCCATATACTCAAGCATACAAGACTAATAAACTACAGCAATAGAAAGCGAACTACGGCAAGGTAGGTAATATGTAAATATAATTATTTCTTACTCAAGGATAAGAGTTAAAATGCTCTAGAATATCTCTAAATGATTAAAGCTAATAAATAAAGTTTAGGTAATAAAAATCACAGAGTAGTAGAATAGTAAGCTTTTTAATTTAGTACTAAGGTCTTAATCTAAATATTATATTTACAATACTTAACAAGCTACCGGAATGACCTGTTAAGTCTGTGAATAAAGATAAAGCAGAGGAAACTAGAGAAAAAGATTACTTCCCTCCATAGTAAGGATAGTGAAGAAATAATAAGTTAGCTAGATGCTGCCTTAAATGACTCAAGATTACATTCCACGGTTTTCCAAGACCTGCCATGTTAAAAGGGTAGAACAAGAAATACAGATAAGTAAGTGGGCTTCTGGCCAAGAGAGAAACATTAATGTAAATGCTTGTTAGTGGCTGGCTGAAATGGAGTTATTTTCGAAAAAGACCATGGCCTAGATGCGCCACTCTGCGCTGATGCTCCTTCTGTTGAGAGGGATGTGTGTGTATTGACTGTGGCTAACCTAGGTCTCGGTCCGGCTGATATACGAGCTAGTTGCCTGAGGCACCATCAACACCGGGAGCGGAATGCCGCTCCGCCGAGCACAAATCGCAGTTGCTGCCGATCAAGTACCTTGATAATGCTATTAATATCATGGCCTATGGTTCATATTTGAGCTGATATCTTAAGATGAACCCACATCTTATCGCACGTGCACCATCCCGATAATGCTTATCTTAGCGTAATTTTCCCATCTTAACCTCACGCTTGGGCCATCTGAAGAGACTGTTAATGACATATTTATCTACAACCAATAGTCTAGAGTCATTTAGCGCCCAAGGCAGAGGCAGACTTGTGTATGGCTGTGCATTAACTAGGTTAATTATGAGATTTAAACTACAGACATACCTTTGCTTTTATGAATTTATCTGCCTAAACACTTAATTACGTCGCTCTACTAGCTGTTATGTGCCAGTCCTCTTGTACATTGTTATGTGCCATTTAGTTAGTGCCTTCCAGCTTAAAGAGGTAGTCATCTCTGTAGCCGCTGTGTTAACTGTGGTGTTAGGTCCTTATTGGCTCAAGACGCGCCGTCACCGTCTTAAGACACGGCATGATTGGCGGATAAATATAGACTCTGATATCTGACAGGTTAGCTACACTTAAAAGGGGGAGGACTTTTTCCCAGGACGAAGCTCAACTTTATTCTTTGCTTCCTGCCATTACTACCATTATTACCCACCACTACTTTAACCAAGCAAACATGTCAAATACTTGCGTTGCAATCGACCCCAATGGTGACACTCTAGTCATCCTTGCAACCAAGCAGGACCCTCCTCCTTCCAAAGAACCCACCGAACCTGCTGGCACTACCAAGTCACCGATATTCATCGAGAAACATTTTCTCTGCTCTCAGAAGCACTTGACACTTGCATCGCGTCGTGCTTCAAAGTTGTTCTCAAGCGCCTTCAAAGAAGCTTCCAAATAAGACGATGGTCTTTATCATTGGAACTTTGGGGATGTTTTCGATGTGCAAGCCTTTGAGGTGGTCTTAAAAATCATATACGGAAAACCCCGCGGAGTTCCTAAGATTGCCGAATTAGATCTTCTATCAAAAATCGCTTCTATTGTTGATGATCTAGAGTGTTATGATGCACTTTCGTTCTGCACTGATATATGGCTTTGGTCACACGGTGCGTTTTGTAAACTGCCGGAAACAATGGATAAGACACTGGCACAACTTATTCTTGTGTCTTTTGTGTTTGCGAATAAAGATATCTTTTAAAGGTGTATACAAAGAGCTGCTCGGTATACCTGCGAGGGCATGCCTACATTTGATCTACTAATCTGCGCAGATATTCTAAGTATGTCGCCTTGTCCGTGATAGCTTATGCTTACAAAGATAGGGCGCATTGAAGAATGCAGGACAGAGGTCCTGCAGTACCTAGTCGATGGACTATATAAGGTCCACGATGACCTTCTTCAGCGGAAGCTGGGATGTAGCGAAGGATGTAGAGCTTTGCTCTTAGGATCTTTGCTACAAGTCATGGCCGCAACCTCCCTGTATCCACGACCCGAATCTTCCTTTTACTCGCTTAGACTCGACTCGATTATCAGTTCCCTGCGCGACATGCAGCCATCGATGTATTACAGTTCAGTAACAGGGAGCCTTACAGGAAAGCATTCGGGTACATGGCTACTACATGAGCAGCTAACATCTCCACCTGCTTCCCAGTCGAATACCGCCACCACCCAATCAACTTCAAGCCGTTTTGGGTCTGGTTCTGGTTCTGGTTTTGGGTCTGGTTCTGGTTTTGGTTTTGGGTCGGGTTCGTCAGGTTTCACTACCTCCACTACAGCTCAAAATACCTCTGATCCACGTTCAGCTTCTAGTGGACTCTTTAGTACTCCTAGAGTTGAGTCTAGGGGGTTCAGCACTTCAACTACCCCCCAAACAACCGGTGGACTTTTTGGTAGAAGCACATCGCCTCAGTCTGCTTTTGCCACCACAGCTACTTCTGGAGAACTTATTGGGACAAGGACCGTGCCTCAAATAAGCGATCCGCTTAGTTCATCTCCTGCTAAGAACAAAGAGGCGCCCAAGAAGCTTGTTCAACACAGCTGTTCTCTGAACAGTTTCATCGATCCTTTGTTGGTTGTAGCAGAGAGTAAGATCCAAGCGTTAAAATTGGATGACTTTCCTTAACCATAGTTAATAGACAGCTAAATGTTGTCTTGCGATGACTACTGTTAAGAATTCTCTATTAAGATAGTAGGTTAACCCATGATTACGGGCTAATCTAATCTATTAAATGTAAATAAAACTACTAGGCATGATGTAATACTTAAATAATGAGACAGATGTGTTATCTGTAGAAAAGTTCTAAAGTATAAAATAATCTTCCTATAGAACTTTAGAATTATAAACTAGATTATTGTAATTGTCTTAAATGATCTATGCTTATTTGAGAAGAGCATATGTGATCTATCTGGGTTAACTTCGAATAGCCTCGAAGCGGCCACACCTTTGAAAATGCGACAGATATCCTGGAAACTTTGCCAAAACTAGCCCCATGCTGAATGGTGATGTATAGGATGCGGACAAATCAAGCAAAAATACTGGCTGTGGTGGCTTTGCGATATCTAGATTAACTGGAAAGAGCTGGATATCCTCGGCTGATATGTCGATTGTATAATTCTCAATCTAGTCGGCTTTCTTAATAAAACCCTCCATCGTGAGGCATGGTGGTTGGCCATTAATCTTCTGGAATTCGATTGTTGGATTAGTATTGCCCAGTTTGCGGAGCTGTGAACTAGTATCATAGACAACTCCGCCAGGTAAGGTTGCCTAAGACCACGATGGTCCAAGTTTTCTATCCTTTGCAGAAGCCTTAAGTTTGTTTTCGCATTTGGCATGACGGCGTTGCGACTTGCTACACTTAGCGGTTTCAACTCTTAAGCCAAGAGCACAATATTCTTTAAGGAGCAATAGCACAGGGAATCTGTTCGCTTCTGACGCCGGGATTATGACCTCTAACCTGCTATTAATATTCGCCTTTTTATGGAGGATTTGGTTAATATTCTGATGTCAGTATTTGTCATAGGCCTGACAGCGAGGCTATTATGTTAGAGCCTTGAGGATGACGTGAATTCTTGCGATAGCAGTCACTATATGGTTGTCTTTTGTATTTTTAAAGCTATATGTTCGATCTTGAATGTCCGTACAATTTAGAGGGAAATTGACGAAGGCTTGGGAGCACTTGAGGTAGTCTATTTCTCTCCTTTTATTTCTTAAAACGATATCTCTAGCGGCAACTAAATTACCAAGATGTTCAATTTTATACCTGGAGAGGAAGTGCATGAATATTGTCCCTGATGTATGGCAGTTGCCTCATTATTGGAGCTGGCCCACTGATGTCTTGTACTAACTTGCCTGAGCCATAAACCGGTAAATTCAGTTTGGATAAGTCGGTACTAGAGCTGAGTGTGAGCCTGTGGACTGTGACTATTCCCTCAACTATTGTCCAACGACAGGTAACATCATATCAGCCGTGGGGCATATCCGTCGTTCGTTGCACAGTTAGATCTACTAACAACGCCCCTATGATAGTTCGCCACGAAGGACGACAACAATAAGATATCTTCAGAAGCAATGCCTTAGTACATGCGACGCGTTCTAGTCATCATGCTTTCAGTTACATCTAACAACTCACATCACGTCGGTAGAAGGTTCTCATTCATGTCAGTGCCTTGAGTCATTTCGTAGAGTGCTCGAATATCGACTGCAACAATACCGCGAGGCCTGCTCGCACTTATTATAAACAAGGCGGGACGTTAAGATGAGTCTCTGTTTCAATATTGCCTTCTAAGGAGAGTGTCTGTGCCATCGCTGGTGTTGAATTGGCCTGTCCCAGGCCGATGGCTACGTCTGAAGTAGCCTCAAAGGTCGCTACCGTGGAGTCACATTGAGAGCTGCTGACAAAGCGGTTGGGGAAGGGGCCTTTTTTCCGAGTCTTTGATCAGTCGAAGAGACTTTTTGGGGAAAGATCGTTCTCCACGCAGGTCTTCGAGACTCGGCAGCCTGATCGGCCTGGCAGTGAAAGTTTCCCTTAGCGACACCCCTGCCGACTGCATGGGAAGATGTCGACTGCTTTGGAATGGCGGGTTATTGACATCCTCGATAAAATGCCATCTCCTGTTTCTATGCTGGCCATGCCTTCGCTTTTCAGTCACTGCAGTTTTTATCTCGGGTGGCTCATATGTGCAAGCCTCTTGGACCGTGCGACGACGCGTTTACCTTGGGTCTTCGTGGATCATGAAAGACAGCATATACTTTGATTCGCAGAGCCTTGCTAGGTTGAATCAACTGATCCGCGGCTCGTGAGGTACGAGACGCAGCTGCCGCTTTCGAACAATAGCGGTAGGTTTTGTAAGCATTTTGCATCTGTTCAAGTCTGTTGACTGATGCCTTTATTATCTTAGATTGTCATCACTCTCTCGCCGATAACAAATGCCTTGATCAACAGAGTCCTCTGTTCCCTGGAGGCGAATCCCATGCTGGCATGTCAACAGTTGATGCATTTTGGGCATCCAAGCTTCGATTGTATTACGTAACAGGCTGTTAGTAGGCCATCACCTTTCCATTTCATGCCGGCGATCCACAGGATTGGCTACTGCTAATATAAGAAACAAAGACCGTGGATATCTCGTGCCGTTCACACTTCACAGTTAGATCACGGACAACCCAGAAACCATTTCTGCTCTCCTGGACGCTTGGATCCAATGCGTCGATAGAAACGCTACTTTATTTCCTCTAGATATGTCGCTACTTCAATTGGTCAGAATAGCATTCGACCAACCCATGGGAAAGAAGGAAGGTCGTTACGGATGGACGACTGAGCCCGCCACAATATGAAGGAAACATGGTGAAAAAGGAGCCCTTTACGCCTCATGGTATGAAAGTAAACGCGCTCGCTGAAACGCATTACTCCAGACCTGCTTTGTAACAGAGACTAAGAGGTAGAGGGTACCACTGACGACAAGAGATGGCGCAGAGGGCAGCCATCTAAGTTCCAGCCTTGACCCATTTCCATGCTCTAATTCACCAGTATATGGACGCGTGCCAAGTCTCCCACTTAGCATCGATCCCTATGAGAGGCAATATTTGACATCTCGGACGCAGCCCTCGCCGTTATCGCATCTCCCTCAGCGTCTACTCCCATTCCGAAGAACCGACTATCGGAGTATAACAAGGTAACAGCCTTATTGTACCTCTAGTAGCACATCTCGTGGCGATACTGTTAGTATACACACCAGATGTGCTATGCCAGCCTGGTCTAGCTCCATGGCCACTAGCAACAATCTTGATATATTACTAAAACTCAGCAGGCACTATCGATTTGTATCCTTAACTCTCCGCTATGTATATGGGACATGCTCACCTTTCTCGTCATCTAGTGCGATGGTAGTCGAGAAATCTCCACTACGCCATAGATGATGGAACCGTACATAGATCTTTCAATGGTGCAGAATTCCTCGTAAAGATATTCATGGAAGGTATGCAGGGACTGACCGATGCCACAGGTCCCCTAGGGGAGCCCGCTTGCCAGGGAATGTTAGGGGACATCCCCGGGATGTTGCTGAGTGGCCTCTCCAGCAGCAGACTCCAGAATGGCTATGCTATTATTAGTGTCTTGGTCATAAGGTTCAGATGTCTCTCAGCGATAGGACAGCCTTTAGGCTCCAGTTTGGGTTAATTAATAGTGAGCTCTCAGGATTCTACCATTACTGAGATACTAGAGGTTAGCTACTATAGCTCCTAAGCAGTGTCAGCAAGGGACATATTATAGGCCTAGAGGATTGATAAGAAGTGAAAGATAATTAGTTTACTAATAGTTATAAAGTACCTCTAGTACAGTTATATTGTCTGCCTACTTTACTGAATCAGGCCAAGAGATACAAGGAGATGTTCTAGCCCTGTACCTTAGCCAATGCTAGGATCGGCTTGACTAGGGCTTGTTTTCCTTCTTCAACTAATTGATCCATCTCTTTCTCTTTTTATACAAGTCCTCAAGAATTAAAATCCTAGTTATATATTTATCTCTAACCTTCGTAGATCCGTAAAGGAGGCTCTGCTAGTCTACATAATAGCCTTCTTATTAGCGCTTCTGATAAGATGCCATGCTTTTCCAGGAGCTCCTGAAATATCTTATCACCCCAAATTCTCTCAACCACACAAGCATTGAAGTGTACAACTAAATCTCTTAGCTGATCCGGCACTAGCTCTTCGAAAGCATATCGCACGAGCTCTACCACATTTTTAGAATCCATGTCCTGTCTTTCCAAGTCTACTAAGTCATGATGAAGCTTTCCGTGAGATACTTCTGCGAGTCTTTTGACTCCATAGCGGTTAGCCAGCGTAAAGACTCTAGCGTGGTGCACGAAGGGGTTTGCCTGGCCTTTTTGTGGTTTGTCGATAATATCAATGACCTCTTGCGGTGATTCCCGACGACGGAGAAAACTGTCCCACAGGAACGACTTTTAAACAGCTTGTGCTTGTGCTTGTGCTTGTGCTTCTGGTTCTGATTCTGATTCTGATTCTGTTTCTGTTGCTGATACGTTTGGCCAATCTGGGAAAGCTGAGAGTAATTCTTCTATTCCTACTTCTGGTATTGCTGCTGGTCCTGCTTCTGCTTCTGCTTCTACTTCTGCAGGTTCGTGAGCAGTACCTGATTTATGGTCCTCTCGGCCGGAAGTCTTCCGAGTGGGCCGAAGTGGTTCTGGAGTGTCGTAGTCTCCTGTATAGACAAACTGCCAGAAACTGTTGAAGACCATCTCATCTACGTCGTCCCATTTGACAGAATATTCTCGTGACTCTTGGGATTTTCCATTCACCATGGCAGCAAGAGCTGGTGACTGGTGTGCGACAAGACTTGAGTGAATAGTGTATTCTGTTTGATGAGGGCCGATCAGAAATCTAAACGGTTTTGAGGTCGCAACGCTAGCGACGCTGGTCAGCATCGTGGTGGTAATTCTACTATTTATAGGTAGGATACTTACGCCTTGTTCGATACGAGCTCCATTATCAGGATAATAATTATGTTAGGGAAGATAGTTAAAAAAGGGCGCAATTTACAGACAGATTGTGTCTTCATTTAGGGGAAACTAGGCAACTTTTCAGTTCAGAGTCACTTACTTAGTGTGAGTTCCCCTCAGTTATGTTGAAACACTTGTCAGTTGTTCATTGGTCCACCCACACTGTGTATCTAAGTAGTCATCCTCCTGCATGCAGCGGTGATAAGAAAACCCTCAGATCTTGTAACTTGAAAACAATTAAGCCCTGGCAATCTCCATCTCTCCAGTTTCTCCTTTACATAAGTGGGAGAATCAAATTTCGAGAAACGGACCAATGTTGGTGTAGACTTGAGTTTGATAGGGGTTGACTTGGATTTCTGATTAGTGCTTGGTTACGCGGTCACGCAAGGCAACAACAGCAGCGCATCAATTCTGAATCTGGCTTATCAATCTCTATCATAACGAATTTGACAGCCCGCTTGAAGTCACTATGAGAACCTAGATATCAAGAAGCTTTGGGCAAACCCTGAACAGATATCAACCGACAGGTTTGCCGCTTCTGGGCAGAACAAAATAGCCTTCTGTCTACCAAGAGGAAAAAGATAATCCGACTTGGACAAGAACCCAATACTCACACTTAGCGACCTTGGTATCGTCTACCAAGCCACCAAATTTTAAGTTGCTTTCATGATTTCTTTTGTGTGGACAGGATAGTTTAGAGGGACTTTAATGCATCCGATCCAGCAGGTTAGGTATTGCAAGATCTAACGAAAGTCGCGAACCCCCCAGAATATTTTGATACGAGGTGTCCTGCCTTATGTAATGTATCTACTACAAAGCAAAGTTGAAAAGAGATACTGAAGCAGTTCGGCCTTCATATCCGCCATCGGAGTCCGTCGGGTCGAGGCCAATCCGCAAGCGATCAGACGCCATCTTTTTGCGCAAGCCATGTATGAAATTCTGAACGTCATCGGCGAACATATCAGGTGGTCTTCGCCGTGGGATAAAGGCTCGCATTGCTGTGATGTTTATAACGCTGATTGGACTGAACAGAGATGGGAGTGGGGTTTTAAGATATCTTAAAATAGTTGAGATGAAATGGCTGAGCGTGAGTGAGTATCTTGAGATGGGGAGATCGCGCTAAAACTAAGCTTAGTCGGGCTGATCTGAGCCGTAGATTTTCCGGCATTGCGGCCATCACCGTCAGCAAATGACATCAGCGTGGCGCAATCACACGTGAACCTCCTCGTCTTCCATTGTTAGTCTGTTCTGTTTGTCATATCTCGGACTGCCACTCTTTTTTCGCCTTGGGTTAGGGATTCCTTATAGGTAACGCCCTGTCCTCAGCTGCAATCAGGCCCTAGCATTGGATTGAGACTGACCTGTTCTGGAATTTGTCAAAACTAACTATATTTCGTTCATGAAAACAACAGTCACATCAGGCCAGGGGCTCACAAGCGGTTTCTAGATAAACAGTTCGATGACCATTGTGAGGAGAGTATGCTCGCGGAGTACGCGATCAACGTTTGCTCCTCGAGATATCAACACTTGGGAGAACTCTTTGTTTCGCATTGCGATAGCCATGTGGAGTTCGATAAATAAGACTTCGGTCAAGTTCCGCCGTCGAAGCCACAAACACTCTGTGCGACGTGATGGCACTGTCCTGTTAGGGAGAACACAGTAGCAACATCCCCTGAACCTTCACAGCGCGCAATCGAGTACAAGAGCAACGCATCAGTTCATGTAAGAAATAAATGTGCAGGCTTGCTGTCAGTCCACGAAGTCAAGCTCAATTCGTGACACTGGACGGACTGGGGACGAGACTGTCCCTGGTAAAAAGAGATCAGACCTCGGTTCTTACGTTAGTGATGCGGTTCCCAAAGCCACTATACCATAGGATCTGGAGATTATTAACGTCGTGTGGGCTTGGTGCTCTCGGCTCTGCGGGTACCAGCTTTTTGATATGGATGTGCTCATGGTACCAGAAGAAGGATTCTGGCATCCATGGCGGAACAAGCCCCCGGAAAACGCGACATTTCTTAGTCGCGGTGGTTATTTGGAGGCGAGGAGTAGTAACACTTTCAGCCCAACTATGTCCTTCCTACTATAGCACCACTGGCTGTGTATCTTTGGTCTCAGCTCGTCATATTCAACCTACCGGCGGTCAAAGCTTGCGCTACGAGTGCACTTGGCTGACTATGAGATGAGGCTGTCTGTCATGAAAATGAGTCAGACGCTCTCATTCTCGAACACTAGAACTAGGGTTTGTGATCCCTTGAGTATATCGGGATCCGATGTACTGTCTTCTACTGTACTAACCACAGTTACCTGGCTCTTTTCTGCCCTTGGGTGCTCATATTTGACAGTAATCACCTTTATAGACTGAGTCATCGAGACTGCTCGGTATTGTCAGCCCCCAATCCACACCAGTGGAGAATAGAACCAGAGGCTAGAGATGGAAAGCACAAAGTTCAGGAAGGAAGCGCCCAGTTGCCCATGGGCTTCCGGTAGCGTCCGTGTGCAACTAGGATCTCGATGCTGCGTCAATTTGGGGTGGGTGGTGATGTATGGGACGACACCTTGTCCGACTGATTCTGTTTTCATACGGCAAGTCTGATGATGCCGAAGCTGGAGCTTTCTTTCCATAGGTAGATACGTATGAGGCTGATGTTTCTAATGGACCTCAGTTAGCCGATGAAGGTGAGATATAAAAACGCATAGCTTGAGAAGAAACCTACAACGAAGCCTTCAGAAGGATGTATTTGGTAAGTTGATGTGCCGGTATGCTTCTGTCAGGAAACCCCCAGGTCAGATTAACCTGACTGTACATATCTCAGCTTGATTTCCCTTATCTAATATAAGGCTAGTATAAATTAGCCTTAACTTAACTAATTTAACTTAACCTTTTTAAGGTCTCTTAAATCTTATTTATTTGCTTACTTTAGTGCGAATTAGCTGGTCGTCACAGTTTCAGTGTCTTCTCCTTGTTAGATATCCTTGTCTGGCATTGGAAGAAATAGAAGTTCGGGGCCCTGATGCTTTCTAGAGGCTTGTTCACAAGACGTGCCTGGTCTTTGCCCTCCCTCTCTCACAAGATGCCTGAATGTATGCCCTTCATCCTTTTCTAGGCTATCACGAAGAGAGCCAAGGTGTCGCAAGCGGATTGGCGGCTTGAGCTTCACTGGCAAACGTCGTGCTGACAAGGTACTGGAATAGTATCATTCTGAGCGATACGATGATATATAGTACGTTCCCCAATCCCTGCTTTTCGGTCACTTCCATCACTAACAGCGCAATTTAGGCAATTTTGTCCAAGGAACGTAGCTCACTAAGACGTCATAAATGACTGAGACTTGGGATCATCCTTGGCTCCAACAATTTCTCTTGACACACTTCGTTCGGCGAAACGTCTAAGTAATTGAATGTCATTCCCGTTCATTACAACACCCAGTCCAGACTGCGACGAGAGGGCTCAAATACCTAACTTCCTATTCAGCAAGTCTTTCGAGCAAGAAGTTTGGAGCACAAGAGCGCGATATTTATACAGACAGGCATCGCGGCGAGGTATTGAATATCTTTGGCACACTGACCACCCGTATCTTTGTTGGGAATTTTGTCTCTAAAGCAAAAGGCGGGATGGTGCCGCTATCATTGTGGTGAATTCCTCTGATGTAGCAACTTATCCATATGTCCCTTGAATCGTCTCTGCTCATTCATAATATACTACTAAGCTGTGGAGTACAGCCCAGCTGATATCTGAGTGCCACAAGCTTACGCCACAAAGAGCAATTGCTGATGGCTATACGGAGCAGTTTCGCAACATCTCTCATGGGACGTTGCATATATGATATACCACAATGAGGTGAGAAGAAAGATGAGCTTAATAAAACAGGTAGTGACTAATGTGGGTTTTCGATATCATGTTTCTCCACCATTTGCGTCTTTTGCTTGATCTGACATCGGGATTCCTCAAAGCAAAGGGGAACATTCCCAGCATGGGTAGGTTGAAGTGCCAATAACAGCTGGACTTCAGCATACGGTTCAGTCTGACGCTGGGCGCTGAACCTACAGTGGGTTGTAGGTGAGAAGAGCCACTGTAATGCAAACCTATGCATTGATAGACCAAAGATAAAAAAGTGGGCGAATAGAATTGCGCGGATAAGCAGATTCCTGACGTCAATTCCTCTGCCTTAGAACATGCAATACTGTATTTGGAGTACTTTGGAAGATGCATGGCACTGTTTTTGTTATAATGGGCATTCCGAGTTGATTGGGATTTTTACAGTGTACTGGATTGATGTCTCGTTATGATGTCTGTACACCATCTAGGTGTCTGGCAATTAAATGTAAGGTGAGTACAGCTAAATCTTCGTGAAGATCTCCTGGACCGGAGGACCACCAATCAATTGTTTAGATCTCGTTTCTTAAGATTGACTGAGTTTTGGTTAGCCAATTAGAGAGGAGCAGGTTGCTCCGCCTGTTACGCTCTTGTTCGTCGGATGGAAAATGGGTCCCAAAGCTGGTCAAGCAACTCGAGATGCATTAGGTACAACTATGTTAAGATATCTCCATATCTTATCGCACGTGCATCATCCAGATCATGCTTATCTTAGCGCGACCTTTTCGTCTTTAACTCGCGCTTGGGTCATCTTGAGAGACACAATCCTCTCTGGTTGGTCAGATCAAACCCACTGCGTAATTGGCTGGGTTAATTTCACCACCAACTTCAATTTGAGGCGCTTCTAATCAATCAATGGTAGAATTCTCGTCGTGGCTAATCCACGCTTTGCATAATTAATTTGATGTTAATTAGAACTTTATTCTTGCGCTTACTTGTGCGCAACTAGGTGAGTATTGCACTTCCTAACTTCCCAAATGGCTGTTCTTGCGTGTTATCTTGAGTTAATTGGCCAGTTGATGCTTACACTGCGTGCCTTACCTTATTATCGCTTCCTAATTTCTGTAGCGTGTGGTTGCCTGTGTCTTTGGAATGAGGCCCTTTAATACCCTAGTCTATGCTGATATAGTAAATAAACTCTGCAAAAGGCATGGGGCTGCGGGCAGTAGATAGCAAGCTTAACTTGTTCTGATAGGGTTGATTTCCGACTGCATGTATATAGTTATCCTATTTAGCATTGCCTAAGCATTTATAATCAGGCAGAAGCGGAAGAGTAGTCCATGTGATGATAACCAAGAACGAATGAAGGTGGGACTGAGTGTCCTAATATTACCTGTATAGGAGGTTGAAGCATCTGGACGAGCCAGAATGAAAGGGTTCCCGGTTTTTTCTGGTCGGATAAAGTGTCTGGCACTCTACTGGTGGTGTGGGGCCCCAGGACAGGTGATGAGGTATACATACTGAGACGGATTGCCAAGTATAAAAGGGCAGGATCGCCCACTTTGCTAAACAGGTCTAATTCTTTTCCTTCTTCCTCTCTCAGCAGAGATTAGAAAGGCTTTTCTAAGAGCTAAGTTACTAGAAACACATTAAAGTAACGCATCTAAGACCGGTTTTTATGCGACTATTAATATTTCCCTCTTTACTATAAGCTAATATTATTTACTCTATACTCTCTTTAGGTAAATATAATTAATTATAGATTATATAATGCAAGAAAGGTAAAATATCAAAGCGGCTATAATGCAGATCTCAGGGGTTAATGATAATATTTTTAGGTAGATTTGTTTATGTATTATAAGGCTGTGCGTAGTGCGTCGCAATTACCAGTTCTCGTCGTTTTATTCTCTGTGTAAGTTAGAGACGGAGATGTCAGCGTCATCTGGGAACCTTGGGACAGAGCAACCTGTGCAAAGCGTGGATAGTGAAATGACAGACGCTCTCCCCGTCTTAATGATAAAATCTTTGAACCTGAAGACGTCAATGTTCCATCATTTCTGAGCGATATCCCCGAAGTCCGTGAAGAGTTCGCCGAGTACTACAGGTCTATACACCGGATGGATCAAGGTGTCGGCATGGTCCTGAGGGCTCTGGAGAGAAACGGTCTGGCGGACGATACTCTGGTGCTGTTCCTGAGTGATAATGGACCTCCATTTGTCAACTCCAAAACTACCTTATTTGAAGCCGGTGTCAGGTTGCCCTTTTTGATGCGTGCACCTGGCTTCACAATCCCCGGAAACGCCAACCCCAACCTCGTCTCATACGTTGATATTCTCCCCACATTCCTTGATTGGGCCGGATATTCCAACATGCCCTCGCAGGCTGGATTTGTTCAACGAAAAGGCAGGTCCATACTCTCCATAGCTGGTTGTTCACGGTCCCAACCAGGATGGGATCGCGTGTTTGGTTCTCACACGTTCCACGAGATCACAAACTACTGGCCTACAAGGTTCATGCGGAACCGCCGCTTCAAGTATCACCGCAACATATGCTGGAAGCTGGATTTTCCATTTGCCATGGACCTCTATGCTTCGCGCTCGTGGGAAGGCATGCGTAACGCAAGCGGCGATAAAGAACCCATGATCGGGCCACGACGACTTCGCGATTATATCTGTCGTCCACCAGAAGAGTTGTTCGACCTTGTGAGAACGACCCTAGAGAAGTCGCCAACCTCGCAGGTAATCCAGAGTATGCTGAAATACTGAAGTCGATGCGTGATGCATTGGAGAGTTGGCAGAAGTCTACCGGTAATTTGTGGCTCTGGAGGGATGGTGCTCCTGTTGTCAGATATCTATCTTCGAATTATGCTAGGGAAGGTCTTAAAATACCTGATCGGTTCGACTTTGATGTCAGCAACCCCGGTACTGATGCGGCACGTCATTACGCTTTGCTTTGAAGATAAAAATCTGCTCAATCAGGGAATGATTTTGTAAGACACCTAAACTATACTAATAGTAAAAGGAAAAGATTACACAACTCTTGTTTCTATATAAATGTATCAATGTCGATCACCAGAGTTTGATATCTTAGGGTGTTTAAAATTTAAAGATATAAAATGCTTTTTATTATGCATTTCTTACCTCTTTGGACTCTATGTTCTGACTAATAAAAGCGTTGTGATCTTCTTGTCAAAGGAGTGGGGCTACAAGGACTGGAGTAGTTTCGTATGTCAGCCAATCATGAGGAATAAACACCGACCCGAACCAAAGGCCGAGCTGCGGAATCCATGCGTTAGGCGGCAATCGGGGTTACAGACAACCATCGGCATCAACAGCGGCATGCATAGCGTAAAACACTGGCACGATGAGGGGGTTTAGGATGGATATTTTATTGATTGCAGGTCTGTATGGTGTAATTGGCAGGTGAAACCACGTCTTCGTAAAATATATAACATATTCCATCTCTACCCCGAGTCAACACAAATGTAAGATTCATCCACTGTAACAAGATGTCACTTAAACTTTTGTCAGTTGCTTTGTTAACTTTTTTTCACGTTCCAGCCCGGGCTCTGAAAAGGCCTGTTGACTCAGATACCTCTGTTGCCTATGCCACCTATATCAACTTCGCTGAACAGGACATCCTGGAGAACGACGATGGCCTTCCTACCCATCCTCTCCTCCCGCATTATGGTAAGGCTACCTGTCCTATCACTACCGATGGAAATGGACGACAGCAGCTAGAGGCACATTTGAGCTACTGGGAAGGTACATACTGGATGTATGCTGCCACTTGGGCCTGCGGAGGCTCGCTGCTCAGCTACGGCAGAGTGAGTGGTATGAATTGGCCGGCTATTCCGAGTTACCCGCGAGGAGACTACGGGGAGGATGGCAACTGCGGCATAAAGTCATACAAGTCCCCTGATCTTGTCAACTGGCAACTGGTCGACTTCTACCAGCCAGCGATCGATGTTGCAAACGTAACCAAACCTCTCGTTAGGTACAGTAACTCGACGGGGAACTATGTCCTCTTTATGGGGGGAAACGATCAGTCCAACTTTTACTATGCGACTTCCAAGGCTCCCGGTGGTCCATGGAGTGAGCCACCTTCTCTGATGACAGGGGAACACCTAACACACGACTTTGACGTCGCTGTGGGCCCTGACGGTGCGCATTACATTCTCACTGACACTTGGAGTAACGTCACCAAGAATCAAGCCACAGGCCACTCTGTTCCGGTCTAGGATATTTATGTGCAGAAGCTGGCGCCAAACCTGACGTCAACAGTCGGGTCCAACAGCACATCGGCATTGATTCGCTCAGCAAAAGACCTCCACAAGCAAGGCCTTAATCTCGAGGCGTGCGGGTTCTTTTACCATGACTCATACTGGTATCAGACATATTCATATACCTGCCAAAACTGTCCTGGCTATATATACTACCTCTACGCCAAGGACCCTCTGGGGCCGTATACAGATGGTGGCTATATTAGCCTTGACGGCTGCGGTGGCCAGAATAAAGGTGCCAACGTGCTGCCTTCGGCAAAGGGTCCAATAGTCCTAGCTGGAAATCTTGCCCACAGGACGAGCCCTACCAATCACGTTCTTAATGGGCAAATCTGGCATGCAGACAATCATCAAGCAGCATCTAGTACCTCATTCTTCCCTATCGAATTTAACGAAGACCATACGATCAAAAACTTTACATGCCCAGTCATTGTAAATATCCCACTAGTCAAAAACATTACCTCCTCTCCTGAACCGCCGGTGCCTTATCAACTCGACTGCCGCATCCGCAACTGGCAGATGATAGTGCAAACATTCTCCAAGCCGAAGGAGGTTTCGACATTGGATTTTCCAGTGTGGCAACGGACAGATAACCTGGGACCCACAACTAACTCAGGTCCGATGCTTGACGGTGTTTTAAACGTTACTGTGATCTTTTCAGATAAGTCAACTGTGATGTTCTCCTGGATACCGAGTAACATCTCTTGGGCGCCAACTAAGATCTCTATGGACTTACACGGCAGGAAGCTAGCGTCTATTGAACTGAGCACCAATGCTACAAATGGGTGTTATGGAACGCTTGCTCTCCCACTTGCTGATCAGGGAGTTCACTATGGAGTCATGATAAACAACAAGTTTAAGCTATCCAAGAGGGCACAAATGTATATTTATAAGATTTAATATATCATGAGTATGTTTAAGTAAAAGACGAATCATTAACTTGGCCCCCCGGGCTCGAGCCAACGGGTAACTGGGAAAGTACCGGAGGGTTTCCCCACCGACCGGAAGCGGCCAGTCACACCCACTCGGCATGAATTTTACAATAAACGGAGGGTTTTCTTGTCCAACTCTGTGATCTGACTATTGGTCACTAATGCCTGCATGCAGTGGCATAAAGAAGTAAATATCTTCCCTCATATTGATATTGTGGAGAAAATGCGGAAAGATCAGTAACACACACAGGGTGAGGCAGGAAGAGGAATAACAAACCACGGTTTGCCAGTGAGCAACTGTATGAACTGCTCCGCCCAGAAAGGACCCTCCAATCAATAAAAGTCTCTATATGTCTTGGCTTATAATCCTTCCGCGGATTACGCAATCCATTGCGGCAGACTACAAAGCTCAAGAGCATTGGAGTTCTATTCATTACGGACTTTATATCACTCACGGGCAAAATGAATCCAGGTGGAATATAAGTTTAAAAGGAAAGATATAAAAAATATTATTAAATAATATAACTTATACTTAAGAATAAAAGCTTAAAGATATAAACCTTATAGATAATTATAATTACTGCTAGTAATATAATAACCTTAGGACTTAATTATAATAGACTTTATAATTAAATTATCTTTATTAAAAGAACCCTTAATTAGAATCTTCTATAATAGTATTATAGTTATTATTAATTAACTTATAAAATTCTTATATTACCTACCCTATAGAGAAGTAATAAATATAAAAGAACTCTTATATATCTTTTACTAATATATTATTAGTATATATAAGTTACCTATAGAAATCCTTTTTAATAGAAGACTTATATTTATAGTAATATTTTAGTAATTACTTATAGTATAACTTAGACTAAATTATTAACTTATAATAGCCTTTTAACTATAAGTTAATAAATAAATTAAATAGATAGATTAAGTACTTAAATAGTACTTATAGTATTATATTAATTATAAATAAAATAATTAAGTTAAAAAACTATTAATAGCCTAACTTGCATATAATACTATATATAATAAAAGTATAAAACTTATACTAATTTATACTAATTTCGGTTTTATATTAAATATATATTATAATATATAATAAGAAAAATCAGTTAATTTAGCTATTATACTTAAAAGTAATAACCTTAAAAATCTATATAAGGAAATAAAAATAAAACTTAAATTTATTAGAAAATATATAAAAAACTATTATAACCTAAAATAGTTAAAAAAATTAACCTTTTTAGAAGGAGATATAATCTACTTAGCTATAAAAAATATTAAAATAAACTAACTAACTTATAAATTAAATTATAAATTTATTAGACCTTATAAGGTATTATAAAAAATCTTAGAAAATAGTTATAAATTAGATTTACTATTAAAAGTTAAGCTTTATTTAGTCTTTTATATTTTATTACTTAAATTAGTAGTAAATATAATATAAGTTAAAATAGGTAATAAATTATAAGAAATCTTAGGACTAGAAGTCTATAAAGTAGAAATTATTAAAGAAACCTATATAAGAAATAATTAGAGAGAGTACCTTATAAAATAGAAAAACTACCTAGAAAGTAAAAATATATAGAAACCCCTAAAATACCTTATTAATGCCTAATAACTCCTAAAGAACTTCTACTAACCCTAGAACTTCTTAAAGGCCTAATATTATTAAACTTATTACTAAGGCCTAAGAATGCCTAGTTAATATTATTAGGAATACCTAATAATTAAAGGTTATTTACTATTTACTCCTTATAAGACTATAAAGCAGGAAGAATATTATCTTTTTTATCTAGCTCTTATATTCCCTGCTTAAATAACTTAGTACCTTGTTTTTTTACCTTCTTCTTAATCTTATAAATCCGTTATAACTAACTTACTGCCTCAGCTAGAGAAAATTATAACTCTATAAGCTCCTTATAAAGAATTAATACCTTATTACTAGCTTCTTCTTCTTAAGCCTTTAACTTCTCCTGTTAATTTACTAAATAATTTACTATTAAAGATTAGTAAATACTAAGAAGAAAGAATAAAGTATATATAGGAAGATATAATATAAATACTATTATAAGAATGACCTCAATAAATATACTTAAGATAGCAATTAGACTTCTTAATATCATCGAAATAACACTCCTTCTTATTTTTAAAATAATATATATATAGTATTGCAGTAGGAAGACTATTCTTAGTTATAAAACGATATAATAAAGCATAATCTTTAGTTATATCCCTTCTCTTAGATACCTTATTACTAGACTTAAATAAAGTTTTAATTACCTCTTGCAGGATAATTAGTTTCTTAGATTTTTTAGATAAATATTTCATTATGCGACCTAATATCGTATTAGTATCCTAGGAAAATTAATATAGGTTTAAGTTATAACCTACCAAGACGAGATTAGCCTAACAGGTGATATGCAGGTCTTGAGGACAAGACCCAACGGAGAGGAGACATTGTGTTACGACCCCCGCGGTTACGTCACGTGTACCCCACTTTTTTCAACCTATTATTAGAAGATTCAGGACAATCACGCTCTCAACCGTGATCGCCTATAAAGGATCACGAACCAGACCGTGATCCCCTCGTCAGGATCACGACTATAACTGTAATCGCCTAAGAACCACCTTTAGTATATAGAACACATTTATTTGCACTTTTATAGATTCTAGCTTACTAGCTATTAATAAAACTTCTTTATATTGATCAAGCCTAATACGCATTGAATCTACCATTAAGACACGTAACACTACGATAAGCTTAGTACTATGCCCTATGTAATCTGCTAATAATAAACCTAGCACGGCTTAGTTTACTATAGTTGGAAAACCCACCGTTATAAAATAGATATACCTTAGGTATAGGAGCAGAGGCATATTTTCTTTAGCTTCTTAACTATTAAGTATGGCTTTATTTTATTAGACATAACAAGAAGGCAGCGGAGAGCAATTCCTGTTTATTACTGTTTTAGAACAGCTCTTCATTGTCCATGGAGCCGGTGGAAATTAACATTTCACTCTCAGACTACGCTTAAGCTGCGTTTCCGTCATGCGCACACTAAAGGCGGAGTGAGGGCGCACCCTGGTCTAGTAGACATCTTTCCTACATACGCTAAGCTAAGCATGGCTAAGTATTCATGTTTCGTATAATTTAGTCTAAGATCCCGGACGTAATTTTCCGTGACAAGACAAGGACATGTATCGGGATTAGGGCGCGAGACAGTGGGGCCTCAAAATACTCCGCACATGTGAGACTCTAGTTAGTGGCAGAAATGCTCATCGTCTTCAGTCCAGCACTACTCGCGTCACTAGTTACGTATTTCTGTTACAAGTCTTTGGTGTGTGAATTTCATTGCAACCCACCCGGCGAGACAGGAACCAGGTTGTAAAGTGGCAACGTGGGTAACTTTCAAAACTGTGGCTGCAGGTATAGCACCCAGCCTTGCCACTAGCCGTGCGCTCGATGAGGCGGCGGGGTCAAAGTGTTGGTTTTGCGCAAGACGTTACAGAAAAACGTTGAGGCTAATCACAGAAGCTTTTCCCTTATAAGATGCAGCTGCATATTTCATTTAAACCATCATGTACCCGTCTACCTGTCGATAGCGCAACCTTGTACTATTCTTTGCCCTTTCAGCCGACGGTTTCGCTCTGCTCATTCCCGCTGATGTTACTAGACGTCTCCGCGGTGGCCGTTACCCCGTTCCTGTCTTTACGTCACCTCGTGTTCGCTGAGTCGTATCCAAAAGGTCATTGCGTGCATCGCGAAGCCAACGACTGTACGACCTCACCTGTCCAACAGCGCCCTTGCGGTATTCAACAGATCTAGAACCTTGTTGAAGGGCTGGGGACAAAGAAGTACTACTCTCTGAGTAACAAACATCCGCCAGTCTCTTCCCTCTAGCGAATTTCACACAGCAAAGCAACCTTGTTGTGTCTACCATCGCCCTCAAATCTCTTGCTTCTTATCAAATCTCCCAGCAATATCAAGATGCATCAGTCATCGTTGCATTTGCTTCGTATGGGAGATGATGGCCGACCGTTCGATAAGGTATATATCATGACTCTCTGCGTCGCTTAACACACCTGTCTGTCATACTGTGGCCAAGTATAAACAAGGTCATCACTGCTATGACGGTTCTCAAAACCCATTTCTCGCTGAGATATTGACTATTAGCTGAATGTCTAACAGGACTTTAAAGATATCTTCTCTACGCTCATTGTCAGCCTTCTCCCTCTCTCGGCCCACCGTGTCCGGTTGACAAAGGTTGAGTACACTTTCCTCTCCCAAAACGCTATCAGCAACCTTATGTATCTCAAATTCACTCAATCCAATCGCCTACCCGATCCTAAGGATTCTTCTCGTATTATCAACACAACCACCGCCATCACATTCTCAATGTCTAAGGAAGTGGCTCGCTCTATCTGTCAATGCTTCGTTGACGCCCGGCTTATTGAATCGGCCGATGGTAAGCACCAGCAGGTGTATACCATAAAAGGATCTGTTTGGCAACTAACACCGAAGGGAATCACTATACTAGACCGTTTCTGCGCAAGAAATGGCATCCAGAAAAAGCAAGTTTCTGAACTTGTTAATCTTAAAGCGACGCGGCTTGTTCTCCTTGAACGAGACTTACAAACTGACAAACTTCACTATGATCAAGGCACTATTGAGATCGTCTTTCGTCGACTCATCGGTGCCGATAGCTGTAATGCTATGTCAAGCGTGGCAGCTGCTGATTCAAGCTCGATACTCGAATATAGGGACAGTATCACTGAGGTCAAGCCTTCTGCGGACCTCAAGGCCAATGGAAAGATCTACAACGATACTTTCCCCGGCAAGGCTATAATCGACTGGCTAATGAACTATACCACCATTATGGAAGAGCGCGAAGCCGTTGCGGTTGCCACTCGTTTCATGGACTACAACCTAATAGATCGTGTGACCAAGGACAGGGCATATACTTTCCAGAACTCAGCCGCTGGGAACAATATCTTCCATTTCAGCAAGCATGCTTTCTATCAATTAACGCAACGATCAAAACGCCTCATCAATGGCTCAAGTTCACCACGACAGTCTCCAGAGACGGAGCACTATACTAGCTACCAACGGAACAGTATCTTCATGGATTCCAACACGCAACGGCTTGACAAAATCCTGACAGATCCGTCAGTGCGACTTCTCTTTCGCGAGCAATCCCGAGACACATATTGCGAGGAGAACCTGACATTCTACCAAGACGTGGATGAGTTCATACGGAATAGTAAGGTGGCTACGCGCGCTGCCCGTAAGGAACTCAATATGACGACAAAGGCCGGCATCAATGATAGTATAGCTCAAGCGTATAGAATCTATCATGCTTTCCTTGCTTCTGGCTCACCTTGCGAGCTTAATATTGACCACCAGCTGCGAAACAGTCTTACAACGCGGATGAGTAAGGCTGTAAGTCAGGACGCTACCATAATCGACACTGTTGAAGAAGTGATATTTTTATTCGAGGAAGCTCAAGAGGTTGTATTTAAATTAATGGCCAGTGTAAGTTTGTCTTAATATCCACCTCGTTATCCAAAAACCCCATTTCGAGATCTTCGACCTGGTGCTAACATACACAGGACTTGGTGCCAAAATTTCTGAGCAACCCTAAGTACCAGCAGAAATTGAGAACCCATAATTTTGGCGTCGTTGGAAATGGTCCTCAGTGGGAGTAGTGTTACCTACCTTTGTGTCTCTTGTACGCTTATAGAGATAATTCGTTACGGGCCTTCAAGAGCAATATAGTCTGACCTTACAGGTCGAAATCATAAGTTAAGATTTGAGAGAAAACGCAGTATAGGTCACTTAGTTGTGATATCTACCTGCATGCTTAATACATTTCCTATATAACATACTAAAGTCGGACATTGCTGTCTTCAGAGACGGATAGAAAGAATCTCAAATCTTAGAAGAGTGCCATAGATACTACGGCATGTCCATGGCCTTGAATCTCCTACCTACAACCACAAAGGAATATCCGTAAGCCAAATCATGACAGTTCTATCATTACAATCAGATGCAAGAATTTTGCAGTCATAAATAAAACCCACGCACGCCACCTAGTTCCCATGACCTTCTAAGACCTCAAGCGTGTAGTAATTCTTAATCTGTCTCAAAATAAAATTCTTTTACGTAGAACCTAGGGCTGCAGCTTATCCTTAAAAGTAATGAGAGCAGATAATCAGAAATCAAGAAAGAGCAGCCACACAATATCCTGCAGGAGCTATGTCAGGTTTTTGTTTTTCGTCTCTCTCAGTTCTCGTCAACATGATGTAGCATAAGTGTATATCCTCAATCCCCAAGGCTCTTGCGTGGTATTGCTTCATCCATGCAGGGTTTTCTCTCTACAGATAAATCCTGATATAGTTCAGCGACATGTTGAGGACGATGCTTGGCGCAAGTTAACCCCTGTGGACTATGGATCCTCTGATAGGGCCGCGATGAATGTTGAAGGGATGAACTCCTTGGATGAGCTATAGCCACCCGCTTTGGGAAAGGGGAGTGGTTTGCTAGAGCTTTTCGGGCAGCGTTTTGGGAACTTCGACTAGGGGGTCCAGGATCCTGTTCCTTTCGGCTAACCCTGTCTAATATTTTATAGGGTCGAGTTTGTGTGGGTATTTGAGGAAGTGGTTTTTCTGGAGGTGATGATGACGGGGGTCCCAGTAAATACGGCTTAGTAGGGAACAGAAAGATATAGTGTAGCTCATTTGAAACATGAGAGTTGTTTCTTGTGTGGGTTTCTTTGGGGTCAGGCATAGGGTTAGACCAGCTCTTATCAGAGGATTGGGGGCACTGGTCGGCCTCGTAAGATGTCTCTGGTTTGGCTTGGTCGTCAACGGTCCCAGGTGAGGATCTATTAAATGTAATTGACCTCATGACCTTATGTCTGAAACATTGGCAAAGGTATTTCCGCGAGCTAACCTCCATATGTGGGCTTGCCGTGCTGCCGTGATAAAAGTGCTTGCGGACCCACTTGAGGTGGAATGGGTTATTTAGCTGCTCAGTGATGCGGGCCATTACAGGAAAACGAAGAATGCTCAAGTACAGTCAATTGGCAAGCAAAAAGAGGACCAAATGATGGCTTCTAGGGCACAAATAATCTGGTGGGACAATTACAATGCACGGAGTGTTATACGCTTTTCTTTTACATTTTAACAGTGAGACATGGATAGGGGTATTCACACTTGGAGGAACAGATACACAACCAACTCGGTAGACGTAGTTCAGCCTTTTCCTGCAGGGGTTGGGTCCGGGACCTAGAATTCTGCATGCTGACCCCGATGTCCAGGCCGCCTCCCCGAAACCCCATGTATTGGCCTTGTTGACACTTTTCAGTTGCGTGGTCCAAACGTCATATGTAATTGTCGTCAAGCCTTGAAAGCGGCGTGGCGCTATGCCGTGTAGGGATAGTAAGCGTAATACTGGGGTATGGTGTGCTGACTACGCTCAGACTCAGGACGACACAGCGCGTTGCATTTTCGCGTTCTGTTCGCCTTTTCAAGCCAGCAGTGGCATTTGGACTCAGGCAACAGTCAAGTAGTTGGGCTTCCGTTTCAGCACAGCTCCATAAAGGCAATCCCTATTAGTGGCCAACCAGATTACCTTCACTTCGGTGGCGGACTGGTTACTGGGCCTTGGCTGCAATAATATCGAGTAGCTTGTTACGGAATAGCTCGGTTTAGCCGGGATGCTGAAGCCATGCGCTTTGTTCACCGGCCGTATTATAGTTAGTCTGAGTGCTCACGAGCGGCCCTTTGATGATAATGTTGGTCAATTCGTCTTGAGGATGTATATTTGCAAAAACCTGGAGATAATGACTATAATAAAGCTTTTCAAGCCTGTAGATTCCATGTTTCTTAATATAGACACCGGATAAGGGTCGGATATACATTACACATCTGTCGGCGTATGCCGATCGTTGTTTGAAATCGGAATTTATCCACGAAGGAAGGAAAAAGGGCAGCCAATCAAAAGGCCTGAACCCCTCTTTTGACTTAAAATTCGATCAGGGGCACCCGCACTGACCAACGCTTGGGCCTCCTTCGAATATCTGACATCTGACATTTGATAGTCGGTTTTATTGGGTAATACGCACCGCAAACCGTCCGGATACAGCTAGCTACCTTAGCGTGGAGGGACGATGGGATTTCGGCTGGTAGAGTGTGATGGCAAAGCATGTCATCGTCAAGCATGTAAGAAATCATACGACAACCAATGGTTGCCCATTCTGTTCCCTTATCACTGCCACCCTCGATTCTATTCGCCGAGCGATTTGGAGATGTTACCTTGCACTTGTCAGTCTATCGGAAATGCCAAGGGTCCCACGATGAGAGGAGTGTCCCTTTACAAATTGTCGCATGCCCCGCCGACAACCGCTTTGTCGCTCTCCGAGACGCCTTCGCATCTTGTTAGGCACAGGCTGCAACTCCACAGCACGGGCTAGTTCAGTGTCCTTTTTCCTGTTCTTTTTCCTGTTCTTTTTTACCTTCCATTCTTTTCTTCGCTGTGTCCATACGTGCTCAGAACGCTTCTCCTCCGCTATTACAAGGACATGTTGGCCCGAGGCAGAAACGATACCCAGTGTACAAACCAGTTCACCGCCCCTTCAGGCGTGCCCGGTCACGCTCACCCTGCTCCTGTCGCTCCATGGACCATCATCCCTTCACAGCAGATGTCGAGGGTAGATGGGGGTCCAATTGGCTCTGCTCCCGGCATGAACATGATTAGTATAGCCTTTGATGAGATTGAACATGCCAGGCTCAATACGGGAGGCATGGGTAAGAGAAATCTCTCTCCCACCAACGGCCGACGAAAAACGGATGAGTCCACGATTAAGGCTCCCACCAATAAGAAACCCAAGACTAATGCCGCTGCTACCAATATTGACAAAGATTTCTCGGATGAAGGGTTCACGATTAGACAAGAGGAGAGCGTGTCCATGTCAAAGGTGACAGATGACGAGAAGCGGAAGACCTTTCTCGAGCGCAATCGGTATGTCTTACAATCCTTGATTGTTCTGTATTGTGGCAGTTTAATGACTCTCCTCAAACCAGCGTCGCTGCCCACAAGTGTCGCCTCAAGAGGAAGCAATGGCTTGTACAAATGCAGACAAAGGTTGAGTCGTTCAGTACGGCGAACGATACCTTGGTGGGGAAAATCGCCCATCTCAGAGAGGAGATAGTCAACCTGAAGACACTCCTTTTTGCCCACAAGGACTGTCCATTTGCCTATCAGCAGGAACTATATAGTGCTTCGATGTCGCATGTCATCACGCCCTATAATTTATAACTCAACTCTTGTAATATAGTTAGATATTTTCTGAATTAGCTTGTAGCCAGTAAGGATGGTAGCGGTATTTCTTATAATGTTGGACATACGGGAAGGTCCGTATCGACTGGACTGCTTTCTACGGGGCTAGGTGCAAAACTGTGCTCTCGGCTCCCATCAGTTGGAATATCAGCCGGCCTCAACGCCAGCTGGTTTTGTCTCTCAAAATTCTTGTTATTATAGGTAGAAGATGGCTCCTTGCCATCCGGAACTAATTGGGAATTCATTGCTTTATTCGGGATAAATTTGTATCGCAATGTAATTTTCAGTCATAGGACATATAGGCAACTAGAGTTGAAGCAATTCGGAAAATTTACCTTAGCTTAATATGCCCTCAGCTCTCAATAGTCATGGCGAATGACATCGAGTCGCCCCCAAAAGCTGGAGCAATAGGTCGCGCTGTCAACACAGCAGGTTCAAAATGCGCTACGTATTCTGCGGTATGATATACTAACTAAATTAATGGCCTTTTGCAAAGGGGAAAATAAAGAAACCATCTCGCGACGATAAAGATGAGCTTGGTTGGGCGAGAAAAGGTCCTCGGGAAGCAACGCCAAATCCGTATGCTGGCATGTCGCCTTGGCAATCACCTCCAATCGATTTCCTTCGACACCAGCTTCAGTAACTTCCATTCCGCGAGGGATTGCTTCTAGTCTGTTTAACAACCCAGCTCCATCTTCATGCCCGGTTCAAGCACTGACCGATTATCTTGAGGCTCCGATACAACCAGCCCCGGGGCAACAGTCCACGGTCGTTGAACTTGTCTCCGGAGTATCTTAAGTAATTGGAACAGGCTGAAGTTTGAATGAACACCAAGGTATACATATCCTTGTTCCAGCTTTGATTATATGTCCTCTGTCTCTGCCTTATGCAAACATCCCGAAAGGACCCCAAACAGTCAGGCAGGCCACAGTTTCTTTGTGCAGATCTATAACTCTCATTTGCGATTAACATAGCTTGGCCTGAGTCAATGCACGCCGGTAAGGGGTATATACAGGGTAATTGTGGCTTTCGACAGCCGCCTCCTAGACTGTCGAGGCTGCTATGGAGTTTAGACAGACTTCAGAGATTCAACACTGAGACTGTTCTTCGAGACTAAGATCGTAATTAGGCAGTGGTACTGGGAAATTAGCCCGGGCTTGGTGTATTGGCAGAACACTGTCCCTTAGCAATACAAGTATCACACTGTTGCCTGCGGCTATTGCTTTAGATAGGCACTAGTTAAACCTGTAAATAGGATCAGAGTACTACCTTTGCTGATAACCCTGGCAGGCCTACTATATGCTGCGAATTCTCTTATTGGGCCTTAAACGAGAGGCCCTAATATTGCCTAACCCTGTGGAAGTTG